GAGTGACGATGACTCATGCGGGTTTTCCGAGAAACAGAACGGAGCAGTTTTCATGAAAACGAAGGTCGATCGGATTTCACATAAACAACAATATAGCACTGCCACTTCTATTACTTATAAAAGTTTTAAATGTTTTTACTAAATTGTAACATTAACTTAATTTATCCGAGATATGATACGTAGAGGTTTTACATATCGATTCAACAGTTTTAGGTAGAGTTGTATGGAAAAGTTAAACATTCATTGCATTTCGACTTCAGTAACCAATTGCATGGCCCATAGCAGTGGAGGCAATAGTTGCAGTGTATGCGTTTTCTTCGTGCCATAAAGGTGAAGGGAAGGGCTGTTGGCGTAGTGCCAGGCGTCGATTTATTTTATTATTCGTTCAGTGGCGGTCAATGTCGCGACAGTAAGTCGACGGCGCCGCACAGTGCTTGCATGTGTTGTTTGTTTAATACTTACCCTGTACATTTTAATAGATTAGTATACGGTTGTTGTGAATATTAAAACTGATCTTATCTTAGGGTATATTCTTGTTACTTGTTTATTTATCTTTTAGTTTTTACCTACTGTGCCTTTGTATGGTTAAGAAACTGAACAGAGTATTTAGCTTTTTGTTGTTTAATTAAATCAAAAAAATATTGGTAAAACATGTACGTAAAACATATAAGTAAAATGTATTTAATAATAATGCCAACATTTACCATCTGTCATTTTAATTATTTGTCTCTGGCAACTATTTTATTGTAAATATTTATTTATTAAGTACATATTTCTCATTGAAAAGAAAGGAACGAAAACCTTTATAAGAATTCCATATATCACTCATCCAAATAGCAAACCATATAGATACGGAAATGCTTTGAAGTTTTATCCTTTTATTATAAATACCGACACATTATTATTAAATAGATAGTAGATAAAAACAACTCCATCTACCTGGAAACATAAAAGTACTAGATAAAATACACTATAAGATAAATCTTTGTTTAAAATCGGTTCAAGGAATTTACTAAGTCGACAACTCGCGCAACGCTATTAGTCGGAGCAATTAGCGTTCCGTTAATGAGTTTCAAGACAACCGTCCAGATATGAAATGGCTAAGCATAGAGCGTGGCTGCACAAAGGAATAACCTCTCTGATTTGATATCTTAATAGCCTTTGAGTGTTTATTGCATTTTAGTTTGAGTTTTTAAAAGAGATTTTGAAGCTTAAGTTATCAAATTGTCATTATTGAAAGCACCTACTAGTGCTCTTGTACATGAATATAATAGTACCGATTTCCTACGTGCAGCCTCTAGCGTGTCGCCTTCTTTTATTAACTACTCGACTACGATTTAGCCAATTAGTGGAAACTTACTAATTGCAGGATATATAAAACACCATAATATTTAACTTATTTAACGCACACTATCAGTGGGCGTGGTAATCATGCAGTCTCCACGTGTTTTTATAAATTTATAGTACGCACAAGTGGGAACAAAAACGACACTGGCTATGATGACAAAACGCTGCGTAGAAAAATCTAAATCCTAGGTAGCTTTTGTCTGAAGTAAATCTAAGTAATTATTAATTTGGAAATGTTTTTAATTTTAAATGTCTTTAGACAAATTGTAATTTTAATTACTTGTCATTAATAGATGATAATTAAATCATTTATTAATATATTATTATGGTCATGTTTGAATAGAATCATTATATTTTTATCACGTCACCAAATGGTTTTAGGTCGTAAATCCTTATTGATATTGATCGCAGAAGAGTACGTAGACCTTTAGTCTAAAATAAGACTGATTTTTTTTTTTAAATAAATATACTTAATAAGTTAATAATAAAAATTGAAATAAAATTAAAGTGAAATAATGTTATCATATACATATAGATACCTTTCACGATAAAGAATTACAGGTAATTCTACCTATTATTATCTATTCACTCATCCAAGTAAACATGCGTAATATTATTGTGAGTTTTTCTAGGAATATATGTATAACTACATCATAAATTTTGATAATATAAAGTCGAACAATCGCAATTTATGGAATCTTTCTCGAAAATCCCCGTCGAGATACAGAGCTAAATTGAACTATGTCATTTTGTCGCATTATTTTATTTGTAACATAAAATCAGTGTTTGTTGAAAATAAGGAAGTTATAGTTATTTATCCATATTATTTGTACGTATTAGGAATAATTATAATTAAAATGATATTATTGTTATTTTATGTTATTTATAGAAGCGCGTCCGCGACTCGCAAAATTATTTTGTTTTTCGTTTTCTTTATACTGACATAAACGATCCGTGGTGAAGGGTACCAGATGCTATATTTAGCATTTAGCTCGTTAAAAATAGCCAGTGTGATAGTGACTGAAGTTGCAATCATTTGCCTGCAGTTATTAAGTCATTATAATATATGCGACCAAAGTTTTTGCTTAACATAACCTTATAAATGATTATAGGTAATTTGACTACTATTATGACTTCATAAACATTTGTTTATTACATACATATCAATATTTATGTAATATGTATATATTCCCAAGAAGGGTTTATGTCGGGCAAATGGCCGGTCGTAAAACTTTTGCCAAATCCTATCAGCAGTACGGAAGATGTACTGCGTCGACGCCAACTGATTGGGACATGGGCAGGGAGATGATTATGATAATAACAATATGAGAGACTAGAAATTTGACATTAAGTAGAGACATATGATTTTTACGTAAATGATATTATAAATATTTCATGAACTGCTGTGTTTTAAAATATAGTTTCCTTATCCGTACTAATATTATAAATGAGAAAGTTTATGAGTATGGATGGATGGATATTTGTGTCTCCTTTATGCCAGAATGGATCTGGGTGAAATTTGGCATAGAGGTAGATTATAGTCTGGAATAGCACATAGGTTACTTTTTATCCCGGAAAATGTTCGGTTTCCGTGAGATAGATTCGTTTTTGTCTAGGGACGAACCGAGGGCGAATCGCTAGTATAATAGAAAGCTAAAATAATTCTCTATCACTGCTTTCTATTTCAACAATTATATTATTTCCTTGCGCAAAAATCCTTTTAACGATTTATTATGTACCAGCGTAGATATTGAATTAATAGATAAGTCGCACGGATATGGAGTGGGCGAGCACACGTGCGGATAACGGGTTTGTATTATCTACGCCTGTTACGTACTTGTTGTTATGATATTAGGTACCTACCTATTCATATACAATATGTACATATATATTAAAATACTTTCAAAGCGTATCATTGAGGATCTATTGAGCTTATTAAGTACCTATTATTATAGATTACCTATATTCGTATTTGTGATATACATTTTATTAGTTTAAAATTTAAACCAAGCTAAATGGTTCTTTAGCTTATGGATTTATGAAGAATTTGTAGTGACAATTAAATAAATAAGTTGATTTACTCTTATTATAGCTGGTGTTGAAGTTTCGCCTACCTCACTACTCTACGTCATAACTAGATATAGTGGTGATCTCATGACCGCGATAACAACATTGCTTCTTCATGAACTCGACCACTTATCTGTCCCACAAAATTCTCTTGCAATTCGAATGCTAGGCTTCACGCGTACACTTAACAGCAACAACACTTAACATTTAAACAGCAAATCTAGAATATTGAAGAAAGATTTTTAAATATTAATTCCCTAAAACAAATCTATATTAAATATGAATGTACCTTCTCGAGAATAATAAAAAAATAGTAGAGATGTTTTTTAGTATGTTAATATATTTAAAAATACAATAAGATGTCTTGGAACGTGTCCAAATAGTGTTAATAATCGTTTAACATAATGCACAAGAATGCAAGATTTTTAGGTGACTGATAGATAGGTAAGCACCGTGACCAATTAGCGTTCAGTGTGTATTGGAGCATTTGAGACGAATTTCATTTAGGCAATTGCGGTAATTGAGCAGAGTGTGCGCCTTCCGGAGAGCTCGTCCGCACCGTCGCGTCCCGGCGCAATGGCGTTCATTAGATTATCACAATTACTTATGTTAATCTAAAACCATATTTGCGTATTTCTTTATCATGTATTTTATACGTTTTTTATTTGGTATAGACGTTTTACCACCTAATATAGACATTCTTTGAACTACCAGAAATAAAATGTTATTTTATATTATTTTTAGTATGAATTAAAACAGGTTTTCATAAAGTAAATTATAATCATAGTTGGCACCATATAAGGTTCTATTCGCCGAAACGTCACGCCTACGGGCGCGTAGCACGTCCTTGCTGCAAGGTCCTACAAAGTTTGCCAAGTATTCCGCCCACTTGCCCAGTTCGTATAGTTATAAGTTTATTGTTGTTCTTAAAAAGAAATAAAAATAAGGCAAAAACTATAAATATTTTATAAAGTCTACAAATTAGACAACTGAAAGTAAAAATTATTTAAAACTTTATTAAGGATTATAAGACAGTGTGTATATCTCTCGATGTAATTTTGTTGCCTTATGTGGCGCTTTGCTATCAGGTATGTAGCGCATATTGCCTAAGATAACTTCAGCCGCCGCGATGCGAAATGATGCGAAATATTTCCGGAGTTAGAGGAGTGTTCTATAAATACGTGATTTCAACGTCGCTCGTGGGCGAACATTTCGGGCGAGCGAGGGCGGGCGCGGCAGTAGCGCGCGACCCGCCGCGGCCGGCCGCCGTACGCAGTACGCGCGCGCAACGAACGAACGACCCGCACTCCCGCGCACACGAAGCGAAGAATTAGAAAAGTGAATTGTCGCGATCAACGATATCGAGCCGCCCCTTCTACTAACTAAACAATATATAGAAACCCTTTGCCGTCCGATAGCTTTCAAGTGCACCGATCAAAATTCATCTCAATTAATATTTCTTTGCGAGGGCGGATTATAACGAACAAATCGACTAATAAACTCGAACCGCACGAAGGTGTCGCGTCGCAAAAAGCGCAACACAATAGAGTAAGCGTCTAATTATAAACGTGGTTGTTAGCGCCGAGATGCAGAACATTGATCCACTAGAGTTCGCCAACATGCTGGCCACCGAGCTGTGGTGCCAACAGGTAGATGCACATATAATGATATAATTACTACCGCAGGTGAATCCCGGTAGATATCAGTCGTTGAAAGAGTGGCATATTCTAGACGTTCAATCTAAACAACGCTGTGCCAAAACCATGCTGTCTGGCACGTGAAGTACGATAGTCGCTTATTTCTCGCAATTTAAAGTAGGATGCAATGAATCAGACAAGACTTGCCTATCATATTATTGCTTCAGTGCACAGTTCATAGTCTTAACTGGCGAAGGACAACCTACAATAGACATTTATGAATTTAGTTACATTCGTCCGTGACTCTACTCGCTCGCCATTTACATAAAAAATTATGCTATTTATTTACATAGTATGAACTAGAAATCGCAAAGCACTGAAAAAGTTTCTAAAAATAATACCGATCCTTAGATACCGTTTCCAACATTTTAGTATGTATAATTTACGCAAATGTTTAAACATGCGACAAATTGCACGATTTAAAGTCGTAAAGTTCTTCCGTCGGACGTTGAAAAGAGTTAAAATATGCAAATAAATTTCTTAAAAACACAATTCATTCATTAATTTATACCCAATCAAAGAAAATACTATTTGTCACGTTAATTTGAAAAACGTGTTAATAATAAATGTAGCACTGCATGTTTATTTTACTTATTTCTAACTGGTGTTACAGAAAGATTTATAGTTTGTTTTTCAACACTCGTTTTCAAGAATAATATTATTGCATTAGGAGTTGAATTTATTGGAGGAGTTTGTGATGATATATAGACGTTATTAGTAGTACTAAGGTATTAACAACCTTTCTACCAACTCAATTGATATTTTCATTTGAAGAGTGTGTATATTCATAATACCAAAAATACTTATTGAACAAAGTGCACACATATTACCTATTTAGTATAAAATATTCAGATATTTCTTGTCTGTAGCATTGTTTAATGTTTTATCTTTTAATGTTATTGTTTCATTTGTGCTGCACAAATGTTTTGCTGATAAAAAGCGATCGGAATGTGGAAGCAACATCAATTTTACAATATCGTAAATAACTATTGCATAACTATTAGTAATATCGCAATATTGTGTAAGTTTTTATTCTAAATAAATGAAAAAAACTATGTCCACCTAGCAGTCAATATTATGTTAAACGTAAGAACCCTTATGTAGGATTACAATAACCTATCTATTCCTGGTTTTCTTTATTAGAGTTCCATATGTGGCAAAAGCGTCTCTCTCTAGTTAATAGAACCACAGATGAGATGAGAGAGATGTAACTACTTACAGTTTGACTAACGTTGTTTTTTTTTCTCTGTTTCCAGTTGGCGAATTTAGAGGGCCTCCAATCGGGGGTCCCAACCCGCACCACGGCGACCATCACGCCTACGCAGTTGCGCAACTTCGAACAGACTTACATCGAGTTGAGCAACTGCCGCAGTGAACAGAGCAACCACGCGGGATTCGTACCTCCATCCGTCACGCAGGCCAACACTTACGGTGAGTTTGACTTCGCGAAATTTCCTTTAGGTTAGACGGAGATGATATTTTCCTCCTAACATCAAGTCTGTCTCTACCGAACTACTCAGAATTGGGAACTGGCCCGCATGGTTGAAAGGTGAGAATATGAAAGTTTAACTATAAATTGTAAAGGTCGCAAACACTGGAAGGAACCCAAATATTAACTTTTATAATATTAGTACGATATGAATATGAACTTTATGCAAAAATCGAACTCATGGCCCACGTCTACGTTTAAAACAATGATTATTGCTAACTCAGATGTATGTACTTATCTTTAACACCTTACTTATCAATCTTATTTCATTTATAAATAATATTGAGATGTAATAAAATAACTTTGCAGGCATCCTGAATCCTGGGGGTTATTGTGATTCGGGCCCGACGACGCTGCATGTGTCGCCGGGCCCACTCTCCGCCAGCGGCGACAGCAGCAGCAGCCCCGGTCTCCCGGCGCCCAAACGAAGGAACATGGGAGGCAGACGACCAACCAAAGCCCCACAGGACATCACGCCAGAGGAGGAAGAAAGAAGAAAGATTCGCAGGGAACGAAACAAAATGGCTGCCGCACGCTGTCGCAAGAGGAGGCTGGACCACACCAACGAACTCCAAGAAGAAACGGACAAGCTCGAAGAGAAAAAGCAAGCCCTGCAAGACGAAATACGCAAACTCACAGCCGATAGAGAACAGTTGCAGACGATCCTACATAACCATATGCCCATCTGCCGGCTCAATAAAAGGTCAACGAGCCCACCCGACGTTAAACCTTTTCAAGACCCTTACGATTACCCTGAGATGCCGGAAGACGGTGTCAGGGTTAAGGTGGAGGTGATGGACCCCACGGTAGACCCCGTCCTAGGGATGGACAGTGATATCTACGCCTCGCCGACGCCAGACAAAAGGTAAGTCATCATGACAGCATTGTGTTTAATAAAATGTCATATACATTGCACACTTTAATTGCGTCATGGGGAAATTATAAACAACAAGTTTTAATATATTGATATATTTTTGTATAACATTTCCTTCAATTTTACTTCTTAAAAAGTATATATTTACTTGCCGGGGTAAAAAGTATCCTATATGTTGACCCGGATAACCAGCTAGCAATCACCATATCAAATTTCATCCAAATCCCTCCAGTGGTTTTTCCGTGATGCGGTAACAGACAGACAGACAAAAATTCTAAAAACTATCGGCTCCTGTATCGATAATAAAGTCTATTTCAATAAGATTTTCCAAAAAATATTTATGTACAGATTCGGTTAAGTTAGAATTTTATTATATGTATAGATGTGCACAAAATATTGAGAAATTTTTGATTCATGTAGTTATTCATTCTTGTATGTACTGTTTAATGTTTGATACATAAAAAATAACAGTACAAAAACCATTACAAAGAGAAGCATTATATTTAGAATCAAGTACTCATATAATTAATAACTTTATGACTTAATAAAAGTGGAATTAAATAATTGTGTGTGAAAAATTTTTTGAAGAGGTTTGCAGAATGGTTGTCAAGGTTACACAACTTATAATCTCATTTCATGCTCATTTTATGTCATCTATAAATATATTAAAATTAAAAAATATTAATTGGAAAGAGAACACTTTTAAAATTTTGTAGTTAAAATATTTGTTTGGAATGCAATTACAAAAAGGGAAAAGTACATTTTAATTATTGGTAGCGTAGAATTTTATTTTAAGAAAATATAATGATTTTTAAAATCTAAGCAGCACAATACGATCCTGTATATTTTCGTAAAAAAAGTTATCAACTTTTTGTCCAAATGTATGTCCCAAGTTTTAAATAGGAGTATTGGAATATGCCATGTAATCATAAATAAATTGCAACAAAACTTACACTATATGCATTTTTATGGACCTATCTTTATAGGATTGGCAATTAAACATTTTTTTCATTGAGTTTATAATTTTTTTAAGCGTTTATATAAATTTTATCAACTTTTTTTTTATTTATATTAATTTTGTTTTTTCGGAAAAGATATAAAAAGGCGTTTTTTCAGAAAAGACGCCTATATAGAATTTAAAAAGCAAGTATCTTCCACCACCTAATCCAAATACAAAATTTGATCCAAATCGTTAGACCGTTTCCGAGATAAACGAAATAAATAAATAAATAAATAAATAAATATATATACAAGATTTGATCATTTAGTATTATAAGATTAAATTAAAAAATACGAAGTGTTAACTAACAAACATGGTTGTTGCAGGATAATGCTGTCGGCGGCCAACCCGGCGGTGGTGACGGCCGCGTCCCTGGACACGCCGCCCGTGCGCCCCCCGCGCCCCACCTTCCTGCAAGTGCCGCAGACGCTAACGCCCGCGCAGGTAGATACGTATCTTTGATTAATTTATACGTAGACTAGCGAGCGACTCGTCCCTAGCTTGATTCCCCATACAAACTTTCATCCCCATTATCACCCTCTTAAGGGTTGATTTCCGGGATAAAAAGTATTCTTATGTCCAACCCAGGGTTTCAAATTATTTTCTTACCAAATTTTATCTAAATGGGTTCAGTAGATCCAGAGATTAACCCCTACAACGTCACAAACTTACAAACTTTACTTTTTTATAATATTAGTGTAGATAAAACTATCTTTACGGATTTTTTCGCGAATTTCTTTAGATTTTTGGTTCCCGGCGTTTCGAATGCTTTACGGCAATCTTGGTCACTGGGCTACCATTGCCTTAACCAGTCATATATTTTTAATTTGAATATATTTTTTCTTAATTTCATGCTTATAGTTTTGCTCAGTTCAATTTCACCTTAAACTTAAATTTTACATTTATTCCAGATACACAACAACAAAGCGTTAGGCAACAACAATAAGATCGCCGGTATAGAAATCAGTACGCCCAGCAACGGCATTCCGTTTAACTTCGACAGCCTCATGGAGGGCGGCACCGGGCTCACCCCCGTGCACCCTCACCCGCATCCTCACGCGCACCCTCACCCTCACTCGCACGCGCACTGCGCGCAGCAGCAGCGCGCTGCACCCGACCTCGCCTCACCCGACGCACACAGCAGCCTCGTCAGCCTCTGAGACCTCCACGCCGCCTGCCGCCTCTTCGAGTTCGACCTTGACCTCGGCCTTGATCTCGACCTCGATCTCGACCTCGACGAGCAGTAGCGCGGCAACAATTGCGCAGAGCTACCCCTACAACATGACAGCACAAAGCATGTCGATATATTAAATATAATATTTTTCTAATATAATGTATATTCAGAATGTTTAAATCATACTTTTGTATGAATGAACCGGTGGCTCTGCAGCGTCGCCCCGTGAGACGTGGCCGGCGCCGAACATAGTTCGCACCGCAAAGACTACTCGCTATCTCTCATCCCTGAGTCCCCCGCTGTCCGAGGGCCCCGCCGGCTATCTACTCTATTTATTTGGGGCCCTTGTAACATACTTGCTCACTTTATGCTTTGTATTTATATTTCGTATTGTAGTCTGTAGCTGCACCGGCGAGCGACGCCGGACCGAAAGTCAATTGATGAGCTGTTTTAGTGTTCTAAAGGATAATATTTTTATACCTAGATTGTATTACGACGTAAATAATAATCGTGATGTTAAAATAAAACAGAGTTTTATTTGAAGCATTTGAGGGATTCGTCCCGATGTGCCGGATCTAGCGAGGCTAGACTATTTGTGTTGAAGCGTTGTGACGGACCGTCCCGATGGTCTGACTCGTTGTGACGGACCGTCCCGACGGTGCGATACGTTGTAACGGACCGTCCCGACGGTCTAACACTTGCGGCGACCCGTCATTGTCATCTCGTCATAATAACTTTGTGCCATTCGCCGTCTAATGAATACAACGTGTACGAAGTATTTAGTTAACCATAGACTAACTGCAATATTACTTAATGATTAATATATTGAATTTAAGTTAGCTCAATATCGATGTAATCATACCGTTCCATTGGCTTAGGTACTGGTAGTGTAAAATTATTATTAAGAAATTGTGATACGTCCAGTGATGTGCGCTCCGAGGGGAGACGATCGTTTTGTATTGTGTATTTATACTCATGTCCTTGTTCGAATGCGGGTGGCGGGTTGACATCGCTTGGATTGGGTAAAGTCAATTAATTACCTATAAGTAGTGTTGTGTAGTTTTTTTCAATATAAAATTTACTAAATTATTTAACTTATGAAAATGGAATTACTTCCAGTTATTTTAGCCCAAAAATTTCAAATTTTCAACTTGCCATCTGCAAATGTCGTCACATTGGTGCATCAATGTTGGTTCTAAATGCATTTTTTATTAATTTTTAGTAATAATTATTTAACAGATTTAATAAGAATCATGTCTTTTGGTTGAATATCGAAATTGGTTACGTTATAGTGGCATGGGTCGCAGAGTTCGTAGACGTTTGTACCGATGGTGACCGCTGGAATAAAACAATGTTTAGGATAAGGCAATAATTAGGCTAAGGGCACTTAACATTTAACTGTAATATGCATAACTTAGACCAAATTATTACTTTATGTGCTTTATTGTAGTTTTAATTAAAATCTAAGCCAAATATTGATTTTATTTTGTTAATTTAGGTTTAGGATAAACCGCCCTTTCCGAAAAAGTATTATTGGTTAGACGCTGAGGAATGCGGAGTATTTATTTAATCAATTATATTATTTGAAACATCATTTAATGCGAATATTACATATTGTATCTATATATAAAATTTATTTATTAATCAATTTCAAACAGTCTTTAAGCATAATATGAACATTTAGGTATAATTATAGGAGAGATGTAATTTTTTTTAGAAGATTTTTCTTAACGCAATTGACGAATACTTTTGTATTTTTTCATAAAAAAATAGCAAAGCAATATATTTGATAAAATTATTACCGCCAGATGTAGTAAATTATATATAATATATATGAATATATAAATTTGTTTACGTACACCACTGAAATTTCGTTTTATTTTTTTTATTCCTCTCCTGTTGAAAGTTTCAATTTACAATAGTTTTACCACGGTAATGTAATGTATACAGTATTCCAACTCGGGCCTGTCCTTAAAATAATTACCTACAGCCGAGCGGCACGTACCCACGCGACAGGGCTGCCCGAGTGCCCGTCGGCCAGTATTTTAATTTCATCTACCTACTTGAGTTTCTTTCTAATTTTGTGATTTCAAATATTATATTTTTTATGTAAAAACTATTATTAGTAGATTTAATTAAAAAATCTCTATATAAGGGTGGTATGTGACCCTTATACATTTCAGATTTAAAAATATTTGCGCCTCGACTGAGACGTGTACGAAAAGCTTTATTGTTAAATTTAATAGTATAAAGAATCCGCATTCGGATAAAAAGTAAAATTAAAAATACTTTAATTTTTATTTTTAGTTTAATTACTTAACTTTTATTTTTAAAACATACGATGTCTCAATACTTTTTTGTTTGACATTAGCGAAGTTATGGGAGGAATAAAATGTTATTTTTGTATCAAATTATAAAAGTTATATAACATAATCACCTTATACAATTTTCGTACCCAGATGTACGATGTGGCAGCCCTGCACGGTTGTCTACCGAGTGTATACCGAACGCGACGCGTGTAGGTATAACTCGATTTGCGACCGTTTGTATGAAGATGGAATACTGTATGTAATATTACCGTGGTTTTACTTTAAAAATCTTAATAAAGTTTACGCTATGTCCATATATTAGCAGCCTCGTTGGTATACGTATATCACCATTATGGTCTCATTAAAGCAAGAAAATTAAGTTCAAATAGATAAATGGAGTTACTTGTATTGATTTGTTATTGTGTGAAAGAAATTTATCCAAAGAAAAACAAAAAAAGCGTTCGTGCATTAATTATACCTAATTTTTTTGTAGTTCGTATTCACAGATGGCGCTTTTATTTCAATTTATGTTTTTTTAATCAAGATTAAAAACTGAGCCAACTGCCACTGTTTGTTTAATTAAATGTAGGATGAATTTTGCCAAATTTTAAATTTTGTAGTTCACACATATTTGTAAAATAACAGTTTGACAGTTTGCGAATCCACAGCATCTATTATCTATTCAAGCAAACAAGAATAGCCCAAAATAGCTTGAATTAGCGCTGTCCAATTTTTTTGTATGGGATGAGGCATAGTATAATATGTCATCATTCAAATCGCGCTTATAAAGGCAGGAGGTGCTCAATTCAAATGTCGTTTTTTAGTTTCTATGTTACGCGATATCTTCGCCACTTAAACTGCTGAATTTGTGAATTGATTTCTATATATCTTTTTATTATTGAGTTACTTGAAAAAAGATTACAAAGATATAACTAAAATAATTATTTTATAAGATTATATTATATTAGACCTGCAGGCTGGGTAGAGCGATATTGTCTTTCAATGCCCTTTAGTCGGCGTTTTCACTTTACATAAATTGTACTTTGGCTTTATGTTAAATAAAAAAAATACTATAATTTTTACAAATCAACTTATTGAAATTAAATTAAATATCTCTAGTTATTATATCCCTGCTTCTTTAACATTGAGAAAGTTTCTACTGCTACGTAATTTTTGGAATTTTGTATTAATTTCTATTAGTCACTCAATAATAAAATCTGTCCTCACGGATTTTCAGAAAACTGACCTAGCAACACTGCTCCGCGTCTTTGTAAAGGCGCCATAAAAATCAAAATTTTATTTGTTGCTGAAAATTGTTTTTCACATTTGATTTTTTGGCGCCGCTTGCCACCCCTATAGAGAACGCTGCTCTCGCTCTACCCTTGGACAGGCACTGCCCAAGTACTGTACAAGTCATAACGGTCGCGTCGGTCGTCAAGAATTAATAAAAACTTACATAAACCAGAAAACTGTTTATTTTGCTTACAAATTGCAGTTGTGAGATAAAGTAAAACAGTAAAAACAATCGAATCGAAACAATTCATTCTTTACATTATAATACAATGTTACACAATATATCTATTCATACAGTAGGCAGCGTAATTCCATATTAAGGTGCTACTAGTGGTACATATATATATAATTGCTAATTATATCCTTATATAGATAACATTATGTATTACTAACGCATATAATTAACTCTGTTATTCCAAATTTTATTAATATTCTCTCGTATTTTATGCTTGATTGTTAAGTATAGAAAGAAGAATATTTCCACAACGCTGATCACGCTGCACCCCAGGCATAGTCCGAACACTCCACCCAAATTTGCTGTAAAATTTTGAATACCCTACATAAGAAAATAATAATAACAATTTAAATTGTAAAAGAAATAAAAAATATTTTATCTACACTAATCTATACTAATATTATAAATGTGAAAGTTTGTGAGTATGGATGTATGGATGTATGTTTGTTACTCTTTCAAGTCAGAACGGCTGAACGGATCTGGATGAAATTTGGCACAGAAATAGATTATAGTCTGGAATAACTTATAGGCTACTTTTCATCCCGGAAAATATACGGTTCGCGAGAGATACATTTGTTTTTGTTTTTCTAGAAGCGAACCCGAGCGAAGCGAGGTCGAGCCATTAGTACATCGTAATAATTATATTAAAGAATGTATCTAAATAACAAGTTATGTATTTACAGTCTAATATATGCATAGATATATAAAACAAGTTTTTAAAGTAATAATTATAATTAGGTACTAGGTATTAGGTAGTATACGGTTATACAAAATGTTCCTATACATATATATTTCTGATAATATGACTTTTTCTTAAGGAAAAAGATGAACGTCGTGATATAAAGTAAATAATAATAATAAATATGTTGCGACATTAACATACTATCTAGTTCCATGGTAAGCTACAAGGCTTGTGTTATGGTTACCAGATATAAGTTGACACACTATACATATATAACTTTAAATACATATTATAAATATACCCATAGCTGAAGTACAAACATTCGTGCTCATCACATAAATAAAAGTCCCCAGCGAGACTCGAACCCGCGACCGCTGGCACAGCAAGTGGGGTCACTACAAACTGAGCCAAACGTGTCGACAAAGTGACATATTACGGTCACAAGTCCGGGCAACAATCAAGCGCTTACGTAGGCACTTTCCGAGGCACGGCTATGGAGGATCTTGGATCCTCCTGAATCTTGGTCCCGCGAGTAGAAATAATATAGGATACTTACATGATAAGCTTATGAGGGACATGATAGTCTCTTGCTTTCTCTTCGTGTATACGGAGCTCGGTATAAAAAAGTGCATGATGGAGGTGGTCTTGTTAAGCTCGATGTTTTTACTGTATATGAAACAAATATATGTGGTATTTTAGTGAGGTAACCTATATTTTTGCTTCTGACTATAAAATAAAAATTGCCTAAAGTTCCAGTGATACAGTTATGTCCTTGCCAAATTTCATCGAAATCTGTTAGCGGGTTAAGCGCGATTACGTGGCGTATATCATTATTATAACTGCCTGGAATTTATTTAAACATATAGGTATAATAACATATAGTAAATAAGTAATCTTACTATGGATTGTGTATCATGTATGGTAACGCGTCAAGGTTGCCGGCACTCATTTCGACTTGATATTGGAACGAGACGCAGTCGCGTGGGCAGTCGCATTGCTCTGTTCTGTACCATTTGTTCATTTGCACTGTCATATTGTAAAGAAGTACAATAAATTATTTACATTCGTTATTTATTCAAACCAAATTATTTATTTAAATAAATATCAATTACAACAGGCTCGACTTAATTAGTCGACACTTAACTAAGTGTTTATAGAAATATTGTTCGTATTCCTTCATAGATAATATCTAGACAACACAGGCTAGATAATAAAGGTGTTGAAATAGTAACTCTGTATCATCTGTACCATCATCAACTACCTCTCTGGTGTAGTGGCTAGCATGTACGGCTGCACATCCGGAGGTCCTGGGTCGAGTCCGGGTCGGGCCACATTTAGTTATTGATTCTTTGTGTTTAGTAAGGCTCAGAAACAGCCCGGAGTCGGGAAGTTGGCGATGTTTCACCCCCGTTCCTCAGAGAACACGCAAAGCCGTCGGTCCTTCGCCTTCTACGTACGTATGTACGTCGTGTCGAGTAGTCGTCCCACCGGAGTATGAGAGTGACAGGAATAGCGAGTCCACTTGTGTACTCGCGTGCACTTGTGTACTAAGTATAATATCTCCTGCGCAGATGGCTAATGCAGTAGTGGCAGATTGGCCGCCATAGCCGAAAGCGTTCGGGAGGACATTATTATTATTCTATAAAATATTTGCTTTGTGGGGGGAAACTCGCTGCTTCTGTCATTAACGGCATCTTCATGTTCACTCACTACGATAGACAAAAGGCTTGCTTTCAATTCTGTTTCAACTTACTTTTCGCATCCACAATACAATTAATGCTTGAAACATTACAGGCGTGACTCATTTTCACATACGGTATATATACCATAGTGCATTGGCAGAGACGTTCCAGCTCGTGCACTTCACAGAGTAAATCGCAGTCGGAGTTGTGGTAGTACCCAAAGTGCGGCTGCGAATATTCGTCTTCGAAGTAACACTTACGACTGTAGAAAAAAATTAGTGTTGACATTTTAAATAAAACTATCTTTTTGCATTATTTCTCTTATATTATATAATCCGAAAAGATAGTTTTATTTAAAATGTCAAATATACGCGTAAATCAAAGAAACTATTAGTTTTGACATTGTTTTTGAACACTGTACTAATTACTTTTGGGCTTTACTAATTACTGAGTTGATTATTTAGTTAAATTAGAAATAAATATGTTTTAATGACCTGTAAGTATCTTAGTATCTAGATATTTGACAGGAGGCATAGTATCTATGAATAGTTGAGTGTTTTGTATAAATTACGTACAGACACAACATAATATAACATATTAACAGATACGATAACGCAACAAGACACGGCTGGCTCGTTTTTCGCCCAAAGAATCGGCGAATTGTTATATGACATGGGGAATACTTTGTAATATATATATATATATATATATATATATAATATATATATATATATATATATATATATTTATTCATTGCCCGCGGCTCCGCCCGCGTTCAGATGACCAAAAGCAAATTCTTAGGTTTTACATATTAGTATACTCTTACATTGCAGTTTTTGTATTTTTTCTCAGAAATGAGACACTTTCCCGGGGTAAAAAGTATCCTATATGTTGACCCGGATAACCAGCTATTACCATACCAAATTGCATCAAAATCCCTCCAGTGGTTATTCCGTGATGCGGTAACAGACAGACAGACAGACAAAAATTCTCAAAACTATAGATTCGGCCCCTGTATCGATAATAATATCTATTTCAATAAGATTTTTCACAAAATGTTGAATGTACAGATTCGGCTTAGTTTGAATTTTATTATATGTATAGATATATATTAAATTATTTGTAATTTCCTTTATAGTAAATGAATAAAAATAACGTACAACAATATATATAAAATTGAATGTTCGATATGCATGTAAGCTGACCTCCAAGAAGGCATGGTAGTAACTTCTTCTGAACAATAAGTGTAAGTAGGATGGATGATATGAAAAGACTCTGTGTATGGTTGGACAAGACTTGTTTGGTCATCTGCTGGAAATTCAGTCCAATCCGTGAACATGACCTACAACAAAAATGATTTTTTTTAGTATTTTATTTTATATGAAAATAGCTATTACAGATAAAAAAATACGGTTATTGGAATTCTGCTAAATGAAGCAATAAGCAGGTAGAGCATTGACTAATTTCCTCTCGAATTAAGGACATTTTGTGGAGGCAAATTTGGTAGATGAAAAATATTTTTGCAAATAATAAATAAAATGAACGTTTCCAGTAATATCTCTGTAAAAACTAAGTCTACCCGAATAGCTCCAGCGGTGAGAATGGTCCCGTGGAGAGCATCATCAGGATTGTAATCGGCGACTACTGTCAATGACGCGACTACGCCGATATTAGATGTCTTGAAAGGTTTGAAATTGTAGTTCTTTTCGTTTCTGTAATAAATCGACATTATACAAAGGAATAATATAATTATAAATACTTTGGCTATGGGCGCCGGGAGGGGACGCAAGGGTGAAGGGGGTGCATTTGCACACACCTGCCATGAAGGAAAATATATAGAAAAAGTTAAAGAAATAAAATTATATGAGTTAAATCCACGTTTAAATTTACATATTTTCAAAGAAGAGACGACGGATGAAATTTATATAAAAGTTACAGAGTTAATCATTTAAAGATTATTTAATAGTTTTATATGAAGGAGTAGATGCCTCCTTCTGGAAATAACTGCCGCCGCCCATGACTTCAGCCCTTTTAACACGTTACAGATGTCCCTTCCATGCGAGGGGATCAGGCCCTGGCTCCACCACCACTGGTACCACTGGTAGGCCACCACAAATGCTAATTGCGAAAATTAGTAAGATTTTCTCAGACATGCAGGGTTTTATAATCATGTAGAAAATAATTCTCACATGAAACTATCAGAGGGGTCCCGATATATTCCGGGTTTGAATCGGTTTTACTGCGTTTTCAAACCGAACACGTTACCACAAGGATATAAATATCTACATTTGTTAACCTATTTTTTTTAAATTATATCTTGGCGTTTCAAACGCATTACATTCAACTTTCCTTTTTTTTTGTTCGCTAAATCTTTTGACTCTAAAATTATACACGCACGAATCCATCTCAAATAAAATAAAATAAAAATAACAACAAAATATAAAAATGCTCAAAAACAGGCACGGACGTATGTCTGTGGGTTTTAGACTTACTCAAATAAAAAAAACACATTACATTAGCCTTTTTATCTGACTGTGGTGAAGCCCAAAAGAGGAATGTGTTTGACCTGTATGTATGTCTCCGACTGTATAATACTGTCCCTTCCTCAACTTGTTACCCTATACTGTAGGTACGTTCCTAAATTATAGTTAGCTCTATTTCGTATAACTTGGTAACTTTGCTTATTATTCTACAGGTTCTCACAAATATCTAACTATGGAGAAACATGTGACAACCCATAAAAATATAGACCATATTTTCCTGAGTTGTGCAATTTCTCCGTTCATCCCATCACTATTTCCATATCATTAGTAAAATATTGAAAAAATATACCTACCAAATAATCAGTAAATATATAATTATTTACTTACCTTTTATTATTTTTGTAATGGTATATACTGTTGAATACACAACACATACCATGTTTCGTCAATATCGGATTGAATAATTCCGTGCAAGGATATTTTTTTTTTTGGAAGTAGCACAGCTTAAGGAAGGATTCACAGCTTTGTGGCATTATACCTATTACCTCTAGGGACTAAAATATAAAATAAAAAATAACAATTTATAAGATCACAATTTATAAGTTTAATTTATTAATTTTTCAATAAAATAAAATCATTAACATTTTAAATGTAATGAGAAAAACTACTCACGTTATATCGATTAACCGTTATTAAATTTTGGAAATTCTCTAGACTTTCTTTGCTAATGTCACCAATAATTTCGTAGAAGCCAAGCAGTTGTGGAAGAATGCTTTCCAAATTTAATGTTCTATTGCCATCTCTGAAAATTAGGTAACTACAAATAATTCGTTTTTTTCTCTCTCTTAATAAATATTTCTCTCTTAAATTTATTATTAGTGCGAATTTAACAATAATAACATAATATCTTAAATTACTTTCCTCGACTATTATGTTTTTTGTTTTAAACCTATGGGTAAATGTTATGAAGATGAAGGTAACAAAAAGCAGCAAATAAAGATAAAATAAGTTTTGAAAGGGAAATTTAGATATCCAAAATGTAACAGATAACTAGACCTATAATACCTAAACCTATGTATCAACTATGAAGTACCGAAAAGCTGCAATAGTTATATCATTAAATTATTGATGAAGTTTTTGATGAATATTCAAACACTTACACAAGAGTTCGGTTAAAATGTGTCATAGCGCTGATAGTTACTTGATTGGGCGAGCATATCGTCACAGCAGGGAAGGAAAGATTTTTCATAACCTCATATTGATTCTCAATAGTAATGCGAGTGGGCATCTCCAGGAAACGGCTGTGTAACATCCAAGTAAGTAGGCACGCGCTCAATAGTACCAAAACCAGCGCCACCGCCCAAAAACATCTAAATAATAATGGTAAATATTATATGTATAAATATAGTTCAGAAAATTATATGTAGGATTTTTTCCTACCTTTTTTGTGAGGTAGACAGGAGATTCTTCAAAACTTTTTTCATTCAATCAGTATTAATAGCCTATATTGTATGTTGTATAATATTATGATATCGCCAATGCTATGCATTTATGCCGTGTGGGAATCGAACATACGACCTCTATCGTAGAAGCGTGCACCAGCGAGATATCTACATTTTACTTATATGTGCTTGATACATGATTAAATTAGAGACAGAGAGGGAGAGAAAGAGAGAAAAGAATTTACTAAAGTATTTTTAAAATAAAATACCAACCGTGATATAGTGTCAGGATATATATAAAAATATTTAAGACCCAAAATGCTGCTTTCGAGACAAAATTTCCGCAAAAGCGAGTTGTTGTCGTTCTTGGTGTTATCCATTGTTGAAGGCGTCTGTTTAAAAATTAAAAGTGATATCCGAATAAAATCAGCTCTGATATCAGGTTAATCTGTCATTTACTTTCATAATTAATATTGAAATTTGAATACATTCAATAATTAATTCATAATTATTTATGTACTATAAATTCACAAGAATACATGTGCGTCATACAGTTTCACGTAAAACTCGTATCTGCCCAAGGTTTGACCTGCTAGGAAAGTTTTTTCTCATTTCTCTTAAAAGCTTAACATAAAGAAATATTTTACGATTACATTTCTAAGAAGAATTAATTTTCGTTTGGCCCATGGTGAAGTACTGGAAAATGAAAAATTAAACTCCGAAAATGCATTAGCACTAAAAACTTGTTAAGTTGTGATTTTTAAAATGAGAATATAATATTTTGTACTTATGTTCTACATGATATTTTATTATTTTCTAATAAATAGCGATAATAAATCGATATATAGGTACATATATATATATATATATATATATATATATATATATATATATATAATAGGTACATATATACAATGCCGTCTATTGTAATTTATTTGTACTATTTTTTCTTAAGAGACAGCGAATATCTATACTAATATTATAAAGAGGCATAATTTGTTTGTTTGTTTGAACGCGCTAGGCTCGAACTACTAATCCGATTTGAAAAATTCATGTTGCATTAGATAGCCCGTTTATTGAGGCAGGCTACAGGCTAGATATCATATAATTTAAAGTCTATCTATTCCATACTAACCGTTAAAACGTACCTAGGGACGAATAAGAGCAAAGCAAGGGTAAGTCGCTAGTTATAATATACATACTGACTTTAATTGATTACAAACAAATAGACAAAGGAATATTTTTAAAGATAAAATAGATACCTACGTAGTTTATATAGTTTTAAATTGTACTATAAATTATTTACCCTTGAGAACACCTGCTAAGCGCAAGTCTAATTATTGTCTATAATGGTAATTAATAATAATATCCTCCATTTGTCACGCTAACAAAACATATTCGGTATACACGTTCAATAGCTTTTATCCAGAATTAAATACATATGTAAATATAATATTTATTATGTTCAAAATAATCCACACTATCTTATCTAGGTATATAAATAAAAATGAATGTTCGTAAGTTTGTCCTCTATGCGTTCCTAAACAATTGATCCGATTGTGATAAAACTCTGGTGATTTGCTCTATATATGCCTGCGAAGGTTTCTGGCGCAAAAAAGATTTTTTTGGACGTTGTTTATTATACGTTCCTAAATTATTCAAGCTTAGGGACACACTAAAGTGAAGCGAGGGTAAGTCGTTAGTAGTATAATAAAAAGTAATATATCACTTAATTAATCTTTTATCCGCTACGCAGAGAATTTATTAGGGAAAAGAGTTCTTTTTATGTTATGAATATAACGCTAAATAAATGACTTCATAAGCAATAATTCTTAATCATATTAGTGGAAATCAAAATGTATGGTGTTATTTTCGCATTATATCAGATAAAATTTCTTACTTCTATACCGCAAGCAGCATTTCATTTTCCAAGGCTCACACGCTGCACTCCGAGAAGGTGAGGGTGAGTTACAACTTACAATCGTAGAATCTCATTAGGAACAAAGAAAAATTAGTTCAAACACATGTCAATAGATGGCATTACATATATCGATTTGATATTAAAATTAACAAAAGATAAATATACTCCAAAAAGGTATACTATGGTTTTTAAGAGTTCTCTTATAAGTGAATGAAATTGAAATAATGCGATCGCTTGATTATTCTGATTAATTATTGAAGAATCAGAAAACAGGTTATAGCAAATAAAATAACAAACAACTTTTAGGAAACTGTATAAAGTGATTTATTGAAAACGTTTTTTTTTACAATAATGTTGCTAACAATGTGTGATGTGCTACACAATAGGGAAGTGTTATGAGTGAAAAACATATTATTGATTATTGAAAAAATTGAGTTTTTTAATAACATTTTTAATAAAAAAAAGAAAAACCATTTAAAGTATTGAGTAGAAAATATAGCAAAAATATTCGTCATAGATTAATAAAACACAGTAAATTCAATTATATGAATACACTGACATGCTAATAATATATTTATAAAAAACAACTTAGGAGAGGAATATCAAGACATGGCTAAACCTACGTCTACAAAGTCTTTAATTGAAGTTACAGGGTAGAAAAACATGTTAATAATGTATTTGGCTTATATAACTATTTGTATTTTAATTAAGAAATTCAAAAAGAGAAAGTAATATGAGAGATAACATCGTTAAATATGATAGGAAAAGTTAATAGTAGATACTATGTTCTGATAAAATATGTAGTTTTACAATTGGTAAGTAAACGAGTCTTTACATTTGACACAACAAGTTGTAGTCCTATAGTCTATAGTAATTATATTATTAAAAGCACACTGTAGTTAACATTATCATTGTTTTATGGAATAAATATTATAGTATAAAGATCTGCTCTTATTTTAAAAAGAGTGGAAATGAAGAACAAGTTCATATTAGAAGAGCGAGATGCAAGTAAACGCAACTGCACTTATCTTTGTCTAATAAAGCCAACTAAAAGATATATAATGTATACATTATTAATTATTATATTAAATGAAAGCGGACTTTAAAAATAAATCCACTGCTTCATGTTAAATATAAATATTATATATTGAGATTCTTCATCTAAAACATCACAAGACTAAGAAAAAAAATTTTCCTTCCGAGGTTACACATAGTTTAGAACATCTCTTTTGTTCTAGTTCGGTGCTTTTGTGTAACAGTATTGCCTATCAGTAGTACCCCCCCCCCCCCCCCTTACGAAATAAAGTAATGCGGTATCAAATCCCGTGTCTCGCGACTCGCACACCTGAGATTTTTAAGTAGATATGATTATTATCATTTTCAACAGGATTGCCGCAAATATGTTGAAAAGAAACATGGCTAGGAAACCTGCATGTTTGAGAGAACTTAACTGGATTTCAAAATCTGTATTTTAGTTACCTGAGTGGTCTACAACCTAGCCCTCCTCACAAAAAGGACTTCACTTTCTCCCGTGCCTGGAAGCAGGACGTTAATAGAGCTGAATTATTATCATCCACCTTTTAACCAATTGTATAATTGTATTTTATAGACAATTTTCAACATACAACCGACAACAATGTTAATAAGCAGATTTTAGCATTCAAAGCTATTATGAGTACTACCTATTTAGACGTCCTCATTAAATAGTATGGCGCGGGTGACACTTAGGTATTATAACTTGACTATTCGAGAGAGTTACCTAGTAATGATGGATGATTCGAATAAACATGTACTATATTAGTCGTCGTCGAGTTGTTTTGCAAAAAAACAGTATATATAGGCATTTATTATATACGAATTAAGTATCTTTACCTTTAGAGTACGGGTGTAGTAAAGAAATTCAACAGCCATATTATAGGACTATTTTGTTCAGGCTGAATAGACAATAGGTAGTGCTGCCTCGAAACTCCCAAGTGGACATATACGTAGTTATATTAATTTAAAAAAATACATAAAATAAAAAAAAAGAAATTTATATAATGGATTGTTAAAAAAAAACACCCGCATTATCCTATTAGAAATAGACATATAACTTTGTTTAAGAAAATTAATAATTATTTGCAATAAAAAAACCCTTGTCACTACATACTTAATATATGTAGATATTTTACATTGTAAAATAAAGTATTATTTAGCTATAAAACTACATTCGTGTGTAGTTTTGTTACTAGTACAGATATAAATTGTGGAAATACTCACATTAAGATAAATGTTTATTTAATTAAGTATAAGTTTCTTATTCTAGGTATTTTTACAATATAAAACATTGGTCGGTTGTAAGCAAGCTTTATGTACTATAGGTACCTAATACCTATCTATTACATTATGAATTATTTCTTTTTAATCATTTTTCATTTGATCTATATATAATAAACAAATGCTAACGATTTTTTGTAAATACTGAATATTTTATAATATATAAAAAGGTAGGAAGAACAATTGTGAGGCATGGTTTAAATTAACATAAACGTTCTCAATGAAATATTGATAAATATTAATACAAATAATGGATAAGTAGGTTCTAGTAAATTAAGTATCTTAATACTACAACAATATATATATTTATATACGTTTATATACGTATATATACGTTTCGTCAGGTAAGAAGAACACTGAGCGACAGTGGAGGGAATGTGTCTGCGCACGGTTATAGTTGCTTTATAAAGTACTTACTAGGCTATTATTTTATAATATAAGTGTTTAGTGTAATTGTTTTATTGTACAATAATAATAGGTACTCCCCCGTCGCGCCCACTTTATACCACCAATTTTATCGATAAACCGCTCAGTGCGCACGTAAACGGTCAGCCTTCTTTTTACGTGACGGGACCTATACATAATATACTGTAGTCCAATGTTTTAGTGCCACCTAATGAAAATTTAAATCTACAAAATATATCTACCAAGGAATCTCAATATCATAAAACTCTATAAGAAAATTTGTATAATATAAAAATATTTAGATAGAATAAAAATTTAATGTAGGTAAAGATAAAATTATGAGTAAATAATTATTATCTTTAAAATAAACATATTATTTCTACATCTTTAACTATTAAATAATATCGTATTTCAAATATCTTCATTGCTGAATATCATATCTATATTATAATTACAAAGTCGTACTAACATAATATGTATGTTTAAAATATCATATTTTTATATTTGTTCCTTAAATTTAATTATAATTTATAAAAAAACTACGGTTCGTGAAAAGTTCGCAAAATATAAAAGTAAATAATTACACTGTCGATGTAATGTCTGTAAGAAATAGGACAAAGCTTAGTAAGTTACTTTACATACATGTGATTGTATACACCAATTTCAAACCATTGGATGAACGTTGAGAAATAAGACTTTCAATGTTTTTGTGCATGTTTTTCGTATTATCGATTTGTGTAAGTATTAAACGTGATCTTTGACTATAATAGTAGGTATATTAAAAATCGTATAACACTAATAAAAGTAGACAGAAACATCAGTTATTGTATAATATATGAAATACCAATATATACTCTTTCACTACGTTAGCCTATCTCACAAGTTTTGTGCGCTCCAAGTCTTCATCATAGATTATAAATATTTACTACAAAATTCTCATTTCAAGTATCAAATTGAAATAAATATTTTCAACTTTGCATTTACATCTTTTTAAGATAATTCTAATTTATTCTAAAACTCCTTTAAATTTTGCGCGTATTTCATACGAATATTTTTTTTTTACTTATAAATACTTTTCCATTGCAAATACACAGTAACATCAAAACTTGATCAGTCGAAAACGTGCGCGCTTGTACATGTAAATATGAAGCACACCAAAAGTTATTATTTAATTAAAAAACACCTAATCGGATGGCAGACCAAAATGTCGACGAACAAAGCGATAGTCGGCGAATGCCATTGATAAAAACCATATAGGTACGTAGCCAAATTTGCAGTAATTATAATCATTATATTGCGGATAAAATATTAAAATCGGTAACTACCAAGATAAATAATATTATTCTTCATTATAAATAAATTACATATTAATATCAAGTATATCTAAAAAAAAATAGTTTTTTTAAATACCTCTTTGAATGTATAGTGATAAAAAATTTAAATAAGATCAAAGAATTAAAAAAATACTAAACCAATTGTAGCTACATGTATGGCAACACCACGAGGACAACAACTGACACGTAACCTTTAAGGGCCAGAAGGACGAGCCGGGGGGCTGTACGTCAGGCTGGCGGCCCGTACTGGCGGGCACGGGGGTCCCGGCACAAGCACCGTCACGGTGCGGCCAGTGCGAGCGATGCCGCAGGGCAAAACGTATGTTCAGACGGTGGAGTCCGCCGCGCGCTATGTCGGTGACCGTCAGGACTCCAGCAACACGTGCCAACGTTGTACCTAACGACAAAAATAATTTATTTATAACTAGCGACTCACGATGTTTTAATAGTTATTCTGCTATTGGGGGTGAAGACAAATCCAATAAAACAAAAATCAAAAATCGGTCCAGCAGTTCTCGAGTTATAAGTGCTGTAACAAACCCGACTTTGTTTTATAAGGTATATAGATATATTGCTACTTTTTGCTCGCGGTGGTAGGTACATAAAAGTAGCGTTTCATATGTTAATTCAGAGAACCCAGACCCCCCCAGGAAGACCCCATCTCACACACATCACATCTCGTTAGGCCGAAGGTTGTTGGTTGAAAGTTGAGCAACCTGCGGGCTGGTCCTGGTGCTCCTTCTCTAAGAGTCGAATGATTAGCAGCAACTAAACTGGGAAGCACTGGTTATTGTAACCGATCAGTCCCCACATAACCACCTATATATCAGCAGGGAATTTCATAAATGGTAAATGCATTTCCCAACGTTAAGAAAAGGATCTAATATATTTCCTCAGAACAAAACACTGTGTAGTAAGTACACCGTGACCGTGCTCTTAGCAAATACCAAATAGGGTACCATTTTGTTACCATCAGGGGCAGTTCGGCTTATATTTCAGTCTAAGCGCTTAGGCAGTACCTGCTGGCCCTGTCGCTCGCACAATTCTCGCCAGTGCCGCTCCTCCTCGCGGCCCGACGAGCTATGTCCAAGTGAGAACCACCCGACCATCTCGTTGCGCTTCACGCTGCGTCGCCACCACACGGACACCATGAGAGTCACGTCGCTCAGTTGGAACAACGCCACCTGTAAATATAAAATAGTAAATGAAAAATAGGTTTAGTAGGTAGGTGTCAGACTTACTGATTATAGTTTAATCTATTAAAACGAATAATATTATAAAGACTTAAAAAAACGACTTCTAAGGCACTAAAATGTAAAAAATAATTAAACGGGGGGTTTTTATTTAGAATAGATACCTAATCAGATATGTATTTCCGAAGTCGGTGCCAGCAAAGTATACCACCGTTATGAAGTATACCCTTCGAAATAAAAAAATAATTTCCAAATCGGTTCAGGCGTCTTCGAGTAATCGATGAACATATATATTAAAAAAAACATTCTGACAAATTGAGAACCTTCTCCTTTTTGGAAGTCGGTTAAAAATAAACTTACAAATAAAACTAAAGTTTGAAAATTACTCAGATACTGATGACTGAAGTTGCTAAGATATTATTTTGTATTAATATTTAATAAAAGTTTTCACAGAATGAACTTATAATATCAGATTCTAATAGTTTCAATTAAAGAATTTTAATACTGGTGTATCAATGTGCAATTTCGTAAATTAATTGATATTTCATCCAAAAACCTTCGCGGTTTGAGATCAAAAAGTAAAAACTAATACATAATCAAATCATGTGTTTACTCAAATTCGTTCCATGTATTCAGCCCTTTTCAACGTCCCACTTCGTTCCATATTTCGGGATAATATTTTCATTTGTACATAAAATACAAAATTACCTGAAATATAAAGAGCTCCTTGTACAGCGGGTTGGACTGAGCGCGTCGTGTCGTAGACTTACAGCGACCCATTTCCATTCCAAGCGAGCTTATGAGGCATATTTTTACATACGTGTCCGGGGCTTTGTTCGGAGATAGCTTACGAAAGTGTGTGCCTTTTATGATCTGAAAAAAGAGATTGGAGTTTATTAATGAAATGGGAGTAAATATATTTTTACAATTATAAAAATTCAGAATGTTTGCATGTTTGTTACTCCTTCACGTTGAAACGGCTGGACAAAGGGTGAAACTTAGTACCTAAACCGATAGACAATGACCTGGGGTAATACATAGGCTTTTGTAATAGGCCTATTATTTAATACGCTATTTAGTAATATGCTTTTAGGCACCTCCAATGCACCCTATCGAAACGAGGCTAAGTAGAGACTTAGACGACTTATTACCAGAAAATTATAAGATTACTAGAGGCAGGGCCGGATTATCCATAAGGCGGATTAGGCGACTGCCTAGGGGCCCCGCATCAACTAGGGGCCCCGTGCACGCCCTAAGAAAAGAAACTTTCCATGGAAGGATTTTTGACAGACAAAATCACATATAAAACAATAATATTGCTTAAATAAATAATTAATATTTTAAATTTTTAAATTTCTTTGTGGTTATACATATTATAGTAATAACAACACTAAATAATATAAAGTTTTTGAAAATTGTAAGATTTATAATAATAACAGCTTAAATTAAATAAATAATATTATTACTGTATTTAATTATAATATTTATAAAAAAAAAAATATAGAATTAAAATCAACAAAATATTGTAAGGTACTCTGGTGCCATTTTTGAATTTTTGAAATCTTTTTGAAAAATTGTGGGTAGACACGGTCAGTAACAATTATATAACGCCAGCTCTGGATTTACACTAGGGGTACTCGGGGCTAGTGCCCAGGGCGGCAAAATTTGGAGTGTGAGGAAAAAATTTTTTAACTTTATGCTACGAAAATTAATGATTTTGAAAAATTAGGAAGTTATTGGTTCCTAATCGATTTTTAATAATCGCGTTCTCACTGGATCTTTACGATTTGAAATCTAGTATACAGTACATTTTTTTTATTAACATTTAAGATACTTATTCAAAAATTTTAAATTATATCCTTTATAAATAAATGGTTGTTATGTACTTATCCTTTAACCTAAAGAATACTCCCGTATAGCATGGGGGCGTAAAGATAGCAGATTTGGTATGACTAAATTCATTTTATATTTTAGACCAGGGTCAATAATTTTTGAAACCAAAAAAAATAGTAGTAGGATTGAAACCCATTGGAAAGGGATGAGAATATAACAAAAATGAAAGGAAAAATAATTTTAGGGGCGCTCTGAGGCCGGGAAGTGGCATGGGGTGAGTTTTTAAGGGTAAAAACGGTTTAACCAAAACTACAAGTCCTATGGAAAAAAGTTAAATGGAAAAGTTGTAGTTAATAAAAAGATCTACAACTTTTGTATTTACACTTTTTTCACATAACCTCAAAATTTATTTGAAAAATTCAAATAATCAAGTTTTTGATTTTTGATTTCTTTGATTTCTTTCATTTTTGTTATATTCTCTTCCTTTTCCAATGGGTTTCATATGTTGCCGCGGAGACTATTCGCCTGGTTAATCTATAAATCTATACATATAAATAAAATTGAAATGTCTGTTTGTTATTACAAAATAACAGCTTTTTACTAAATGCATATAAAATTAGGTACGGTACTTATAAGAAAAACACAATTTTTAAAATTTTTGTCTGTCTATCTGCTTGTTCTGGCTAATCTCCGAAACGGCTGGATTGATTTTAACGGGACTTTCACTGGCATATAGCTGATGTTATAAGGAGTAACATAGGCTACTTTTATTTTAGAATAAGAATTAGGGTCCCGTTCAAAAAAATGAAAACGTACCTAGATACCCTACTGTAAGATATAAGTAATGCAGTATATAGGGCGGTATTTTTCACGGTGCCCCAGGGCGGCACTTATGGTAAATCCGGCCCTGTATAACGCCTTTGAAAGTTAGAATGTCTAAAGCCTTAGTATTTCCATGACCATTATTGCTGTAAAGCATACGAAACGTCGGTACCCAAAAATCAAAATAAATCCGCGAAATAATTCGAAAAGATAGTTTTATTTAAAACTAGCAGCTCACCCTCGCTTCGCTCGGGTTGGTCGCTAGGTACGTTTTAAATAGATATAAATAGTTATTAGCCAACGTTAGCCATATAATTTTTTTTTGTTAATAATATTGACAAATGTTGACATTAATATATATTACGATTCTAACGTCACTGAATTGCCATCAATGTTTTGCCTTTCCGGAACCTCTCCACTAACACTTAAACTTTATGTTATGGTATTAAAGTTCAAATTGACTTTTAAGTATTATTACGAATCTTTTGTATTGGAGTATAGAAAAGTGTTGTTTTTAGACTTTTTCAGGCAATTTTTAAATTTTTTCTCTCCGTAAGAACTATCCTCGTACTTCAAGGAATATTCTAAAAAAAGAATTACCGAAATCGGTTCAGCTGCTCTCGAGATTTGCGCTTACAACACATTCAGCAATTCATTTTTATATTATAAGAATGTCAAATATTCGCGTAAATCTAAGAAAGTATGTTAAGGGTAAGGTAAGCGATAATTCAGAACGGTGCGCGTTCGGCTGATGAGTACTAGACTTTATTCACGTTGGGCGGGGAATCCTCGATTCATTAGATGATATATTGGAAAAGGTCAACTTCCAAGATGTTTTAAATGATTTTGTATTTAAAGAGCAATAAGGGTTGCTATTTAAACTTATTGTACTTTATAAAACTATTTTCTTTCGTTTATTGTATTTTATTGCATTTAACGAGATTAAATTTAAAATAACCGCATAGCGTCTCATTTTTCTATTCTGTTCCATCATGAGACCTGGATCATCACTTATCTATAACTATAACCTATTCATTGAGACCATTTCAATGAAAGCAATTAGTCAGGCATGTGAGGTGATGCTGTAGCATCAAGCCAAGGTAACCATATTGTTGCAATCTGTACTAATATTACAAATGTAAAAGTTTGTGAGTATGTATGTATGGATGTTTGTTACTCGTTCACGTCAGAACGGCTGAACGGATCTGGATGAAAGGCACAGAAATAGATTATAGTCTGGAATAACACATAGGCTATTTTTATCCCGGAAAAATATACGGTTCCCGAAGGATAGATTTGTTTTGTTTTTCTAGAGGCAAACCCGAGCGAAGCGAAGGTGAGCCGCTAGTATCACATAAGAGATTGAAGTGACAGGATAAGAAGGGAGTCTATCTGGTAGACTCGACTTTTGTAATAGAAAAATGTTTTTTAAAAAGTAAGAAAAGGGTAAACGAAAGGGGCCCCGAGAATTGTATTGCCTAGGGGCCCTGATAGGGTTAATCCGGCCCTGACTAGAGGGTAATCTTATAATCTTCTTTGCATTCAAATTTATTTCGGTTAAACGTTAAGTATTTATATGTGGAATCACATACTATATTTAGATGAATAATATATCAAGCGTTCTCCTTCATATCTAGCATAAGCTTAGAATAAAATATAAAATTAAGTTCAAACTGTACTATTTTTATCTTTTGTATGGTAGCAGTTCGTAAAATTCATTCATCCCATTTTTTTGGTGTTTCTGGGTAATCTTCTTGCCTACCATCAACAGCCAGGTGGCTGTTAGACTAAACTACTAGAGAGACACTAAAACCCACAGCGGAACCTTATCGCCGCAGTGCAATAAGATGTTCCCCGCAACCGATCCCAATCGTATGGTCAATTCAACACTCATGGGCCAACTCTTCACCTAAAAACACAAACTAATTCGCATTTACCTCAACAGTCAAATGACCAGTGGTAGGGTTATATTGCAAGCCAAGGAGCAGTTCAGGAGCAGATCTCGTGCTACAGCAGGACGAGGCGGAATCGGATCGCGCGAGGCTACAAGCCTCTCCGCCCGCCGCGCCAGGCGTCGTCACCGTGGTTATTGAGGATGGACTCGCCAGAACGCCCGTGATAGAGTGATTGAGATCCAATTTTGGGAGCTGAAGAGTTTTAGAAGAGTAATAAGAAACCTTTGTGTTGTGTGTGTAAAAAGAAATAATTAAATAATAAATACACTATATCTGGTACGGGTAAACAGAAACAATGTTAAGCATATTATATCATTATTTTGTTCAGTATTGCCAATTAATATTTTTTTACCAGACTTGAGTTAAACTGACCGGCGACCTTTGAGGCCATAGGCAGAATCAGAAGATATGGTGCCACGGCAGTCGTCAAAAAAGTTTAGTAAATTAATATTTTATATAACAGATACGTTTTTTTTAATTACATATTTACATTGAATTAATAGCAAATGCATTAGAAATTACTCGTAAGTAGGTAATCGAAAAATAGCATAAAGATTCTAAAGTTAGGTCTAATTTAATTTTGTCTGTTTTTACTGAACATTCAAACCTGTAAGCTAGGTTGGTGATGTTGTCGGGGGGTCAGTTGGAGACATAAATTATTTTCCAGCTCCAAGTTAAGTGATGCAAAGCTGACGTTAGCCTCGCCGAGCAACCTCTGTCTTCGCATGCGTTCGCAACCATATATCCGGATGCGAAGCCCTAAGCCGTGTACATCCTCTAAAAACAAAATTTTAGAAAAAAGTATTAGTGCCTTAAGATTTTTCTACAATTGGTTTATTGATAAATGCTTACAAACACAACGTTACCTGGATTTATTTTGTGTAAGACAAAGCTCTCCATATATTGTGGGTTCTCTCCATTTCGAATCTTCGACTTATACTTTTGTTTCTTTAGCGGCAACAAAACGATTCGCACCTTGAAAAAGTAATTGTATAAATTATTCTCAGAAAATTATATAAAAGGAGGAAAATTATGAAGGAAGGTAACTAAAAAAATATATTTCGATTATACCTGACTTTGTAGAACCTGCCCTTGAGCTTTCTGAGGTAAGGAACGCCCTTGGAGGACATGAACCGTCATACTTCGTACAGGCGCGTCATACAATAGAGTCAATTCAACGGAACCACGCTCCTGGGAACTACCACTCTCACCGCAGAGCAAGGACGTGTCCTGTTGAAATTTATTTGTTTTTGGTTAAGACTCGTTATTTTAAAAAAATGTTGTTTAAAGTTCAGTTTATATACGGTTATGTGGTATAGGTTATACATATATCAAACGTATCTCAAAATATACCTAACTAAGTGACTTTAATGACTACTTAACATTTGAATCAGAAGGAAAAAATTGGGTAATTCCAAAATAAATCTTAGTCATATATTCTACTTGCAACCCAATATTTTTATACTAGCATCTCGCCCTTTTTTTTTGAATCGATTGAAATAAAACAAATATTAAATTTTAAGTGCTTACTATTAGTGAAAACCGCATCCAAATCGTTTAAGCCGTTTCTGAGATTAGCGCGCACAAACGCACAGACAAACAGACTAAAATTCTAAAAATCATTGTTTTGGATTCTATTCCGTTAATAAAAGAGTTTTTCACAAATAATTTCCATGTACAGATGGCGATCTGTAACAATTTTATTAAATATACATAACTTTTTGAATTTTGTATGTATAAGTTCAAGCATAAATATGTAGTCATTACATTATGCGCGATGACATCACTCTCCACACTGCTCTGAGCCTCCAACGTGTGTATGTACTCTGCTCGTTGTGGCACCACCTCATCTATCTTCGTTTCCCGGAGACTGGTCTCGCGAAGAGCCTTCTCTATCACCTCTACTTCGACTTTTGCCTGGTTGTGGTTTTGGTTTTCATTTTTCTCCTCGTATCTACATTCCACCTCCTCCTTATTCTGTAAAAAAATATCAAATAACAGAGCAATGTTAAATATCCATATTAGCGTCAAGGTAACAGTGTAGGTCACATTCCTACCTTTTTATTACATTTTAAGCCGCATGTACATTTTATGCGGTCGTGGATTATAGAAAGTATTAATTAAGTACGATTGAAGAAAATACATTACTGAATGTTAACTTGCGCTAAGTTATAGAAATATTGCCTTTTTTTTATTTAAAACTAGCGACTTACTCTCGCTTCGCTCGGGTTCGTCTCTAGCTTGCTATGCTTATGCTTACCAATACAAATTTTCATCCCCATTTTCACTCATTTAAGGGATGATTTCTGGGATAAAAAGAATTCTTTGTCCTTCCCAGGATCTCAAACTATCTTCTTACCAAATTTCATCTAAATCGGTTCAGTAGATCCAGAGATTACCAACTACCACGTCACAAACTCACAAACTCACGATTCACAAACTTTACCTCTTTATTATATTAGTATGTATAGATTATATTGGTAACATGAGACATCATATCCGACAATATTACTTTTAATTATTTTTTGGTGAACTTTCAAAACGTTTGAAAACCAATTTAAAATGATCGTCGAATCTGATTTTTAACAAGTACAAGTAAACGATTGATTACACTATAAATTCTACGAAAGCTATCACTGAACATAACAAATGGCTACTAAGAACACTAGAAGGTAAGATCAATAGAGCCATTAATGATTAGACGAAGTGCGCTCGCTATACAGGTGCCGATTGCAATATCTATAATTATCTAAGTACCTATACATATAAAATAAAACAAATTTATAGTTTTTAGAATTTACATAGGTCTGTCTGTCTGTCTGTCTGTGAACGCATCACGAGAAAACCACTGGACAGATTATGATGAAATTTGGAATGATGATAGCTGGTTATGTGTTACAAATTGTATTTAGAAAAAAATAACTAGGGGACGTAAAAAATAAGCAATACAATGTAAAAAAAAATTGTTCGCTTGTGTACGCATAACGCAAAACTCCCTCAGTGAATGTACTATACCTCACATGTATCAGTGAATGTACTACTATACCTAATCATAGAGTTTTCATGTATATTTATATTTATGTACTTATATATATATATATATATATATATATATATATATATATATGTACATATATAACCTGGTCTGATTAATTATTATTATTGCTTAATTTAACGGTAAGATAAGCATATTAATCGACTTTAAAATAAATGAGGTTATTAATTCGACACGTACCTATGTAATATTATTGGAACTGCAAAATAATCACATATTATGATAATCTGTTAGGGCTTCCAAAGTAATATACAAAATTTTATAGGTGTATGTATGTTTGTCTACGCATTTCTCCGAAACTAGTAATCGGATCGTGGTAATTTTTGTTTTATTTTATTATATTTATTTGCACTTATGGAATAGTTAAGATTTCATCAAAATCGGTTCGGCAGTTTTTATGATATGGTCTAAAACGTGCAATTAAAACTGAAATAGTTTTTTGTAATGACTACTTATTACAAAAAATATTTCAGTTTTTACTTAACACAAAAAATTATGAAATAAAAAAATAAATAAACCGATTTCGAAAATACTGATTAGGTATTAATAGTAAGTCAAAACCCCCTTTCAGTTCATTTTTTACTTTTTAGTGCCTGGAAGTTTTTTTTAAATCGGTTAATTTTTTTAATTATTTTTATTATTTAATACGAGGTAGATCACAATAATTTAGTCAAACGTTTGATATATTTATTAGTTTATTTTATATTAGTAGACCAGTGTCGATTATTTTTGAAACCAAAAAAATAATAGTAGGGTGAAACCCATTGGAAAAGGACAATGAAACAAGACAAAACTATCAAAGACTTCAGCCCTGGTCTATAGCGACTTTCCTTAGCTTCGCTCGGGCATGTCCCTAGGTAAGTTTTATATAGATAAAAATACACTGGCGTGCAAAAAAATCGGGCCACTCTTAATTTTGAGCATAATTTTTTGTTGACAATTGTTTAGTGAAAAAAAAATACCGCAAAGGTAATTAAGGAGATTAGACGCCTTTGTTTCTTTCAAAAAGGTCATAAAATTCCTGGAAATGCACGTGTGCGCTTAATTATAGTCAATTAGCAGTAATTAGTGAATATTTGCATAATATGGATTGAAGCCACAAATACTGTTTTTTGTTATTTTAGAAGCTTAGTTGAGTTCCAATTATTGAACAAGACACTTCTACTTTGATCTGCGATTATTAGAAATACTGCAAGATGGATCTGACCGAGGCTGAATCATCTCAAATTGTGACTTTGCTTGAAACTGGACAAAGTCAACGTCAAGTGGCTCAAGCTTTTTTGTGAGCCGTTCTACGGTCCAGAGAGTGTACAAACGTTACATAGAGACTGGTGGCTTTGTACGACGACATGGTTCTGGCCGACGAAGAGCCACATCAGAGCGTGATGATCGATTTATTGTGTCATCAGCTCTAAGAAATCGTCATCGCACAGGGTTGCCGTTCGAAATCTCCTGAGAGAAGTGAGATGTATTAATGTTAGCGAGTGGACAGTAAGGCGCCGACTTAGAGCCGCTTCCCTGACGCCACGCAAGTCCGCAACTGGCCCCAAACTCACCCCTGCACATCGTATTGCAAGATTACTTTTTGCCCGAGATCACGTGAATTGGAATTTGGAGCAGTGCAAGAAGGTTCTTATTACTGACGAAATAAATTACTAAAAAAATATTCATAGAAAATGGATCCCTTACAATATAACGGAGGTTTTAGAAGATCATGTGATGCCTTTTACTGGGTTCATTGGAGAAGATTTTCTGCTTCTACAAGATAATGCTCGCCCACACACTGCTACATCAGTAAGGCAGTATCTTCAAGAGGTCGGAGTGTCTACTATTGCTTGGCCAGCGCGAAGCCCTGACCTCAATCCGATAGAGCATGTATGGGACCATCTCAAAAGAAAAGTTAGAAGTCGCGTAGTAGTCCCGAGCAACATTCAAGAATTAAAAAGGGCCTTATTGGAAGAATGGGAGTCTATTACACAAGATTATCTAAAATAGTGAGTCAAATCTCTGGAAAACCGATTAAAAGCTGTAATTAAAAACAGATGCGGTAATACGCATTATTAAAAATCATAAAACCAATCGAAATCTTTTAATTTTCCCATTAATTTGCGGCTTACATTTTTATACCAAACTCGCGAAAAATCATTAAATTTGATTTTCCTCTATTTTCGAGCAATAATTTTTATGTTAATTATTCAACGATTATTGATTTAGGTACCTATGGTATACAGCTACCCATATATAATAACAAAATTAATAAAAAAATATCATATTTTAAGTTTGTCCATTTTCTCTAGGTGGTCCGTTTTTTTGCACACCAGTGTAGTATGCTATCGCGTACTTTTCTGTAGGCTTTTTAACACCTATAATTTTTTAGTATATTGTTTAGTTACATGGCTAACAGCCATGAAATCGTACGATAACAGTTTTTTTGACAAAATATCGTCTAGGCTTAGCTATATCAAAGTATTTACCAATTTATTTATACACTAGCGGCTCACCCTCGCTTCGCTCGGGTTCGCCTCTAGAAAAACACTAATAGAGATCTATTAGTTCCCACGGGAACCGTTCATTTTTCCGGGATGAAAAGTAACCTGTTGTTTGACCGGCAATATAAGGTATCAGAATGTTAAACTTTACTAAATTAGGTCCATAAATTATTGTGTACTAAGCTGTATAAGATATTATAGCTTTTTAACTATCCCACGGGAACTCTTTAATTTTCCGGGATAAAAAGTATCTAAGATATTGCCCGGGGATATAAGATACCACCATGCAAAATTTCATCTTAATCGGTCCAATAGATTCGGAGATTAGCCCGTACAAACAGACAAACAGACAGAGAAACAAAAAAAATGAAAAATATCTGGATTTGTTCTATTTGTCTTCTTACATCCCCCCGATTCAGTTTTTAGCATTTTTTTGCTATGTACAGACATTCGACCTCTACAGTTTTATTATAGTATAGAAGATAAACCTTCCTCGCTCTTTACATTAGTGAAAACCTTATCAAAATCCGTTGCGTGTTTCCGTAAGCAAAGCAATGTAAATTTCTAAAGAACGACTCGATAGAGCCAGTTATTGTGTTTTCCCATGGGAATGAAAGTTGAAGAAATCTTAAACGTTGACCTGATTAATAGGTAAGTTATCACTACACAAAATTTAGTTAAATGTTTCTGCGTGAAATGCACACAGATCTACAGATAAAGAGACAAAAATTAAAGATTATGTACACAATACATAACAGTCATTGTTTTTTTTTAAATATTACTTGTCTTATTTATTAGCTTTTTAAGTTTTATTAAAGGATACCTATCTGTGCAGGAGATATTTTTTGCTTATATACGATAAATGTGTGCGCAAATACAGGTGCGCTCTATTCTCTTACTTTAAAAAGGTGAAGCCGAAAGTGAGATCAGATATAGAATATGGCTAGATCAAATGAAATTTCGTAACAAACCGAGAAAATAGTTAATGATTGGAAATTAATTCGGATGTAAACTGACATGGAATTCTCTGATATTTAGATAAACCTGTATACACACACGTAGGTAGATGAAAAAATATTTACATTATAAAAAAAAACGACTGCGTAAAAAACGAACTAAAAAGATGAGAACAAGTTGATGAAGAACCTATGAATAGACAGTCAGAGATATACAAGTTTTCTACGAACTGCGAGGCCTTGCTACGTGTATGTACAACATAGAGTCTAACATACGTAAGGGTTAAATACATAATCCTCCTTTTGGGCTTGTCTGCAGTCGGGTGAAAACATTTAATACGACTTGAGCTGGACTTTCACTGGCAGATTAAAGATTCGGATATATAGAAGATTAGACATAACATAGGCTACTTACTGTTACCGGTCTGTTTTTTATTTTATAATATTTGTTTGGTAAAGAAAAAGGTTTCTCGTGGGCCACAGTTAAGCAAAAAGGAAACGTTCTTACAGGATAAAATTATCATTAATATTATTTATTAATTATTCGGTTTAACAACAAAATACCTATTATTTATAGAAAAGAAACCTAAGACAGAAGAAAGATAGTACGTACAATTGATTATTTATTATGAAGATTGAGTTCTTGTAATTATTTAGTGATTATATCTACTTATTATATTGAAATCTCTATGTTATCTATAAATTACTAATTCAAAGCTTTACTTAAATATTTGTTTATTTTGTTTCATAATATAGTTTACCTGCTGTATGCGCAAGCGCAGCTCCTCGTCAGAGTCGGAGGCCTCGAACGTGAATATACGTTCAGGGTAATGGTTCGGTTTCGACAAAGCATCTAAAACAACACAGACGTACGCACAACGTCAATCAATATAATAACACTCTAAAGCTAACCTAGTTGCTAACGAACTAAAATATCTATATAAAATTTTACGAAAACGGTGCTTCAGTAATTAAATATTCATATTACGATAAACTTTTAATTACAAACACCGTAGTGACGCACTCGTCGTCCTTGGCGATGTAACTACAACAACATTAAGCTAAGGTTCTATTCCCTAAGTACCTAATTCCAATGATTAAGGATGCGTATTAATATAAAATGAAGCTTTTATAACAAATAGGTAAACTCTAATTAGTTTTCTAATAGATATTTACCAAACTTTATCTGCTATTAAAATACACTCACATAATATTAAAAGCTAATTAACAATAATTTTGACAATAAGATAATGTTAATGTAGGTATAGAATAATAATGAAAATTTACGATTACTGACCAAATTGAGCATTGTCGAGAGGGAGTCCGGGAGAAGTGAGAGCAGCATTTACAGTGAGGATGTTATCGCAACACTTGCGACCGAATACCGCAGAGTAGCACCAGCGCCTTCCGAGGAACAGTAGCACCACCAGCAGGATCAGGGCGAACGCCGCTACGGCGCTAATATATGCCGTCGCCTCCACTGCACAAAATAAAACACTGTATTTTCTCGACAACTGTGGTATTACGCATTGTGTGAACATTGTTTACCATTAGTCGGGGTGATTGCACCGACATTGGCCACCATGCTGCCTCACCCGCACATCGCTGGGCGGCATTCACACTTTGATGTGTCACCTGAAGTTTCCTAAATGAATTCCTGTCGAAAACGTTATTTTTTTGCAGAATTGAATAGGAGAAAAAATGGAACGCGTTGGCACGGTTGCTGTCAGTTGCCGCACATGCGCTGTGGGCGAGGGGCACGGCGAGGCGTGTTGAATACTGCGCGGTGATAGGACGGAGGACCTACAGGTATCTGGTGTATATAGCTATACGGGGCTTGTCGGCAAGGCCGGCAAGTGACCTCGGGAGGACGTTAGGACGTCCCCTGTTCAAACATTTTATCCTATCTTTGATGTTGCCTGTATCGGTAGTGACAAAGGATTTCAAAGTGTAGGTAGTTATAGATAATGAAAAGGGCTCAATTATATTAATCGTTACAAAATAATAATAAGGTTCATTTTTTTACACTCAATCGAAACACGTTATATAATAAAAATAAGCTATCACGAAACATTAGAAGCTGCAAGAAAATATGATGTAAGTAAAGTTTATATTAGGTTTTCAAAGATCTGAGGAATTATTGCCCGTAAATATTTATCTTTGGGAATTACCAATGAAACGCAGAGTTGCAAAGCGCGATTATAATGTAGCCCACTACGGTTGGTAATAAGTGGGTGGCGGAGATAAATAAAGCCGTGAATTGCGTAACGTACGAAGCGTAGCAACTAGCAATCAGGACGTACTGGACTGTTGCCAAGCCGCCAGGAGCAATAGTTATTTCATGCGAATCTGAATTTTCATAAATATTAAATTTACCGTATTTTCACATACTTTTTTCGACTCACTGACATCGTACCCTAGTTCTATAGTTTCTAACAATATGGTTTATTTTAATAGGTTTTGGAGTGATTTTTTATTAAGCCATAAAAAGTTTATATACCTATAAATAATATCAGAAAGACTATAAACTAAATATTTTATTGGATTCGTAAAAGAATTGCTTTTATATTTTGCTGTACCTAATCTAGTAGATAGTGTTTCTTGGCTTCTTGGTAAATATATGCTATTAATATTTTAGAAACACGATTATGATGATAAAAAGCAAAATGAACCCTTAGTGCGGCGTGAATAATTCAAGGAAGTTCATCAGATTTTTAATAATAACAAAACTATACCTACGTTTTCTATAACGCATACACGTTAGATTTTCAAAATATGTATTTGTTTTAATAATACGAAGGAAATACCTAAATCCGCACGCGTTCCGTCCATCCTAACTACCCCCCCCCCCCCCTCCCGACCGCTGTCGTCCTACTAAAATAAAAAGCTCGGTGACCCCTTAAGTATTTTTCCACAAAATCACTATTTCTGATTAAATACAAAATTCGCTAATTTTAGCATTTAAACGATTAGGTATACAGATCTAGTATATACTGATAAATAAAATTGAAGTGTCTATTTGTAATGTAAAAATAACAGCTTTTATAAAATGCATATGAAATTAAATTACATATATAAGCTACCTATAACAAAAACACAGCTTCTAAAATGTTTGTCTGTCTGTCTTTCTGTTTGTTTGTTCCGGCTAATCTGCGAAACGGCTGGGCTAAATTGGAAGGGACGTACGAAACGTACCAAGGGATGCACCCAAGCGAAACTAGGGTAACTCGCTAGTACCTAATAAAAAAGCCTTTAGATAGAAACTAAAAGATGTACTATAAAAATAAAATGTTCATAGGTACATATAAACTTATATTATTAAGAATTTGTACAAAAATATGTATAGACATTTATTCTCTATCAAAAGACCATAATTAGGTATTTAAATACTGCTTTTATAATTAAATCTATAGGTACACTTACTATAATAAAGCAATATCTTAGTGAAATCATAAAAAACAGTAAAAAGTTTAATAAATATAAACTGCTTATATCTACCAATGAAATATTTTTTAAAACGACTGCCTCGGTGGTGTAGTGGCTAGCATGTACGGCTGCACACCCGGAGGTCCTGGGTTCGAGTCCCGGGTCGGGCCAAGTTTAGTTATTGAGACTTACTATACGGAAAGCCCGGAGTTGGGAAGTTGGCGGTGTTTCACCCCCGTGCCTCGGAGAGCACGTAAAGCCTTCGGTCCTGCGCCTTAACTCTCACCGGTCGTGTCGAGTGGTCGTCCCACCGGAGTATGAGAGTGATAGGAATAGAGAGTGCACTTGTGTCTGCGCGTACACTTGAGCACTATAATATTTCCTGCGCAGTTGGTTAATCTCAATGAGATTGGCCGCCGTAGCCGGAATCGGCTAGAACATCATCATAATTTTTTAAAACAATGACTGTAAGGTATTATATGTGCTAGTATAGTATTATATGATCTTTGGTATTATGTACACAATAGACCCCAAAATAATAGTTATTAAAACGTTTGTCTGTTTGTGCGTGCGTGTTTCACGGAAAAAGTAATGGACCGATAATTCAACGAAATTTGGGGAAGTGATAACTTATTACTCGGGTCGATATTTAGGATATCTTTTACTTCAGGAAAATCTTACCTTCCCACGGGAAAACACAATAACTGGTTTTATCGAGTCGTCCTTAGAAACCTTCCGTAGGCTAAACCTTAAGACATCTATCAAAACAATTGTAACTACCTACTAAAAAATTATAGGTCTTGAAAAGGCCTACAGAAAAGTCTGCAACAGTAGATATATGTCTATCTCCTAAATTACACTCGCAATAACTATTTTTATTATATAACTAGCGGCTCACCCTCGCTTCGCTCAGGTTCGCCTCTAGAAAAACACTAATAGAAATCTATTAGTTCCCACGGGAACCGTTCATTTTTCCCGGATGAAAAGTAACCTGTTGTTTGACCGGCAATATAAGGTATCAGAATGTTAAAATTTACTAAATTAGGTGCATAAGTTGTATAAGGTAAAATAGTTTTTTAACTGTCCCACGGGAACTCTTTAATTTTCCGGGATAAAAAATATCTAAGACGTCCGGGGATATAAGGTACCACCATGCAAAATTTCATTTAATTCGGTCCAATAGATTCGGAGATTAGCCCGTACAAACAGACAAACATACAGAGAAACAAAAAAATTGAAAAAAATCTGGATTTGTTCTATTTGTCTTCTTACATCCCCCTGACTCGCGATGGCTTATTATTAGCGTATTGCATGTATAACTTTGGTGTTTCTATACCGATTTCTATGATTCTTTTTTATGGAATAGTTTATAATGTTAACTTTTTTAATTAGGGATGACTGAGAGTGTTATAAACGTAAGAGTAGACAAATATAAATCAGAAAGCTTCGAACTGCTAAGCTATCGGGAGTTACACGTGTTATTGTGAGTCAACCATAAAAGATAGACATATGCTGTCGTGGGATATTTTTTATATAATTTTAAGGAGAACATTTCCGTCATACATGATTTCTGTGTAGCTTTAACCATTAAGGTTGCACACGCGACGGAAGCTTAAAAAATGGAGTAACTTCTCCCGTTTTCCCAACATTTCCCTTCACTGCTCTGCTCCTATTGATTGTAGCGTGATGAAAAGTATACTTTAACCAGCTCAGGGGTATAAAAAATAATTGTACCAAGTTTCGTTAAAATCCGTCGAGTAGTTTTTGTTTCTATAACGGTTATACAGACAGACAGACAAAAATTTTACTGATTGCATTTTTGGCATCAGTATCGATCCCTAATCACCCCCTGATAGTTATTTTGGAAATATATTTCATGTACAGAATTGACCTCTCTACAGATTTATTATAAGTATAGAAGATAAAGGCAATGTTACGACTCACTGACTGACATCAACGCTCAGCCCAAGCCGATGCTGATAGACTAGGACCACAAAAAACCCATATTATAGGCGAAATAAACTCTGTCTGTCTGAAGGTATGCCGCCGTGCGGCTATAGTTTTAGACCCCGGGAATGACATAAGATAGTTTTCATCCCGGAAAACGTATCATATATAAGAGAGTGATTGGGTGGAGATTTAATCGGGAATGAATCATTTCTCAAGAAAGTGATATATATATTTTTTTATTTTTTATAATACTTAGCTACTTTTCTATACCTATATATGTACATTGTACATATATATACCTATCTAGTCTATTCTATACTTACCGTTAAAACGTACCTACCTAGCTAGGAACGAACTCGAGCGAAGCGAGGGTAAATCGCTAGTAGGTACTAAATATAGGTGAAGCAAAACCACAAACGGATCTAGTATCAGTGCGAAAGACTGTTTAATAAATCGATTGATATATACTATGTAGTTTAGTGTTCACTGATGTGTTATTTAAATTTTCTAGTTAGCAAGTCCGTGAAGAGAAACGCAATGGGCATAAAGCAATCACTTAAACTTTAATATTAGAGAAATTGATTTTTTTTCCATTAGGGATTTATTATAGTTGGGCATATAAATAAATGTCTAGATTCAAGACCTCATTATTATGACCAGACCCCTGTACTGGATAGAAATGTATTTCACACTCCAGTTGACGTTAAGGCCTAATGGGACGTTTTCATTATTGATTTTCTAATATGTAGTGTATATTTATGGGCAGAGAATGCTACATATATACTACAAAGGTAAATATTTTATTTGATTAGTAGTTTCAGCCTGTGGGTTTGCACACACGGTTGGTTATTGAAAAATAAATAAAATATATCCATACCGTTACCATATTTATTAGTAAAATATAATAAATAGCTAACGAATGTTTTTATGAACGTATTGAATAAGTTCAGTTTAAATCTTTACGTATTATAATAGAACTAAGTTAAAAACTTTTCTAGGTATATTTTATATTAAATAAAAAAAGGTCAGTTTTGCATTAAATAAAAAAAAAACTAGCACTTCATAATTTTTTTTTACTTTTTGGATTTTCATTTATAACAATAATATTAAAAAATTTCTCTGAACACTTTTAATGTAGAATCTGAATTAGCTTTCAATTATTTCAAGTGCAAAATTTTGATAAATTTTATTATATTTTTGTTGCTACTTGTTTTGTGTAGCGTTTAGTATTCATAAAACTAACGTGGGAAAGGTGTAAATTATGGTCAATATATTATTATATATTTAATATTTATTATATATTTAGCACACTGATGTGTCACCTGGCCACATACTATACCTGTTTATTTCAATAATTCATAATATAGTTCACGTAACAACTTATTTTTTTTATGGGCATATAAATGAAGATATAATAATAGGAGCCCAAGAGGGGATTTTGGGATTTCCTCAAGCGCGTGAAACCTTCAGATTAAGGTGTGGTGGGCTAATTACATGCTAAAAGTGTGCAATTCATTAACAGAAGCCGAAGAAACAAAAAGGGTCCATAAAGTTTATGTAAATTAGCCCACCACGCTTTAATCTGAAGGTTTCAAGTATTTTAACTTATCAAAATATGGTGAAGGTACTCAACGAGTGCAAGGTATCTATCTCCCCACCAAGAAAACAAGAAAGTGGTACCCAAACAAGTGGTATGCTTTGCTTGCTATTGCAATGATAAAGATAAAAAATATATTAGCATTTTATTTCATTCATGAAATTATGAAATAACAAATGTTATTACTTTTATGTGCTTGTGTCAATTTATAAATATACCAAGAAATAATAATTTTGTTCGTAAGTAAAAATAAATATAAAACCACATTAATTGTCATTGAAATACGTTAATGAAACATACTTTTATTTATTTCAGAAACACTTTAATTTGCTCGAATTTAAATTTTAAAAACGTGTGTGAAGGTAAAGGTAGTTCTTGCAAGTGCAAATCAGACCAAGGTTCAGCATAAATAGAATTTAATAAATATTAGCTAATATCAATGAAACATCGCAATAATATTTTGAAAATGTTTTTTTTATTAACACTTACATTTTTACAGCATTCCTAGCCAACAGAGTAATACTATAAAATGAAACGGTGTAAAGAACTGTCGAACGCAAAACAATGTTAGTTCTACAGTGTACTTAAACGAATAGCTCACAAGTTCCGATCGTTCAACACGCCGGCAACGGCAACTATTGTCCGAGGCGAGGCGCGTCGCGCGCACGCACTCACACTAAATAAACAAACTTTATTTTAAAATCTATAAACATTTCATATAATTTAGATTTATAGTCGCTATAATGTAATATAATTATTACTTCTGTAACCATTATTATATTATGTTATATGTATTCGTTACGAAAGTTGAAAGGAGCCGCTCTCCCGCCGCCGGGCGATGCGACGCGGCCGGCGGCGACGGGCGGCCGCAACACAAGGTCACTCTATAATAACTGTATAATTTTAAAAATTTCTAATTACGCATTTCTACGTTTCGTTTATTATCTTTTAATTAAGAAATAAAATCTTACATAATTACCGTGAGCGGTCTATTTTAATAAATTTCACGAAAATCACTAACGACCAGTTAAGTTTAGAAAAGTAAAGCATAGTGTCGGGCCGGCGCCCGCCCGCGGCCCAAAGCGATCGCGACTGTGTATGCTTCGTTTCTACTTTACGATCGAAAATACGGCTCAAAATTCCGACTACCTACCTAACAGTAAGCAGTAGTACTAAGACTCAGGCACACATCGACCACGCACCACGCACTCGAATCGACGACTGAACGTCGCTCACTCGAAAGATTCAACTTAATCTAAATCACTTAAACAATACAATCGTGGCTCCTTAACTGTTAATTTTACAACAAATGCTTCTCGCCGGCCGCCGAGCGTTCGACGCACAATGATCTACCGCTACACGATATCTGGTACTTATCATATAAGTGTGTGAAAAACAATCATTAGTATTACATTAATCTATCTTATATGACTGAGGGCAACTTGCTGCGGCGGGTGCCCGCAGGCCGACCGAGATTCCAATTCAATACAAAACTAATGAGACTCATTAAACAATAACGTAAAGGTGTCCGCGCCCGAGAGGCTGCTACGCTGTTGCAGGCCCGGCATTATAGGTGGTGGGTGGTGACGGGGTGGAGGATGGTGGGATGGCGGGGGAAGTGGTGGCGCGGGCACCCTCGCAGCATATGTACAGGTCCGTTAGCGGAGCCCCGCGGGCGCAAAGCGGTGAGAAGCGTACACGACAGCGATTACACATATACCGGAACGGCACCGCGACCTCTGTCAGTCTGATAAGAACACAAATGAACTGGATGTACGCATAAGTAGGCGCGAGCTGGACGTGGCCGCTTAGTAGTAGGTCTCCTGCTCGAGCCAGCCGCCGGGGTGGCGGCGCAGGTAGAAGCGTCGGATCTCGTCGTAGATGAAGATCGACAGCATGAAGGGAATGGCGGGCAACCACCATACGAACCTATAAATTAATGTTATATGTACATATAAAAAAGTAAATTAGTATGGAAAGTTTTCACCATAATCAAGACAATTAGGAGGGCATTAATAAATAACTCACTTGAGAGGATACATCCGCAGACCCTTGTCCATACCGGGCGTGTATGAAAGGAAAGCGGCGAGAGCAGTCTCGAAGATGAGACCGAAGTTCAAAGCCCAGTTCCTCATGCCCTGGTGCACGATGGAATTGCGACGGGTCTTGCAGATGATCAGATCGGCCCACTGCACCACTACGATGGACACGAAGAAAGCGGTGTGGCAGGTGTACTCTAGAGCCTTGCGGTCGCGGTATGTCTGGAACGATATCGAAAATGCTAAACATATACCACTTGCTAGTACATAGTCTACTAGATTTAAACCTGAGTTAATCTTCAATTTTGTATTAAATCAGTAAATATAAAAAAAGTGGTTATAATTGTTAGGTACACACCCATTCTTGTCCATAGGAGTCGGTCAAGTCGTTAATAGCCTTCGAGTCCCATTGCTTTCTGATACCGAACAGTTTCAAGGGCAGGAACCCATTCTCAGCCATGATCACGAAGTACACGAAGAATCCGGCGGCGGCTTGGATCATTCCGATTTGGCCATAAGCCATGGAAATCAGCCTGTGCGTAAATTGTTATTATAGATCGTGGATCGTAGAGTGCTTTGTGATAATATGATATAACTGGCTCTATGTTATATATGGGGTACTAATACTTATAAGGAAACTTATACAGGTTGTTTATTTTTTTTTCATATCATGAAATTTGCAAAAATTATGAATATTGATAGAACACTCAATTACTAACCCAATACTATTAAAAAAAATATTTAAAATAACATGAAGCCAGTTATTTTCTATAGCACTTGCATGTTTTAAAGCATCTTGTGATCTAAATGCAAATTAAAAATGTTTAAGTTTGTCTCTCAAATCTAATACTTACAATTTTGCTTTCTTTTCTGGCATTTTTTTAGTTATTACTGAAGAGTCATGCATTATATTATTACTAGCATTTTACTTGTTTTAGTTGTTTTGTAAAATTTGGCTTTTAGCAGCATTTTTGTGTCTTAGTAAGTTATTGGAAATCAAAATACAACAAACTTGCATAAAATTTCAAAAACATAAAAAAGATTTTCTCACTATGAAACATTAAATTGTTATATTTATTAGTATTTTAGAGTTTGCCATATTTTGTGAAAAATTACGGTTCAGTAAAAACTTTTAAAAAACTAAAAGGTTAAATGAATTTCAGGTAATTCTTTAATGTTGGAGTAAACAAGAAAATTATAACTACGGTTCTTTCTAATTATAAAACCGGTTCTTACTTTCCCGTACATTTCCTTCCATTGTTAGTGACAATAAGTACTTACAGATTTACACCACGCATGCAACATTATATTGGTAAAGAACCACCGATAAGCTTAAGCAAACAAGAACTTTAGCTTGTGGTATAAAAAACAAGAGGAGAGCTTAAAGTTTCAAGAATGTGTGTGGTGTTGGTGACGGAAGCACTTAGCACTGTGACTGGTCTAGCGTCGTGCGTCTAAAACTATACCATATAAATATACTATATATCCGCGTAATAAAATAATAGATATATATAATATTTGAAATAAAACATAATAACTATTACAGTACGCCCCACCTCGCCTAAGACATTCCTACAAAATAAAATTAACCAAATGTTTTTTCTACGGACTAATAAAACACATCACACACAGTTAATTTAATATCACTATTACGTTGTACGCTCACTAGATTTCACTAATTTGTTCGCTAACGTGCAATTATCGACATTTCACTGCTAAATGCCGTTTATCTAATTTTAAAATATGGAAGAGTGAAGATTGTAAAGGTATAAATACTATTAGCTAAATATTCTATTCATAAAGGATTCTAAAGAGAAACTATTTCATTCATTCTCAAGGAGCTAAAGGAAATAGAAGTAGATCGTGTATTTTACAGAGAGTTGAGTATACTTTGGGTACAATATTGTTTGTTATACGGGACTCAGTACGAATCTACACAGGTGATTGCGTAGTGCTGGACTGAGGGTGGGGGTTGTCTTCATTATCACTCTTCCACATCCATGTCAAATGGAATTGTTCGACCACAAGTAGCCGCACCATGAAAATATTAATCTTTAATATCAACCAATTTCATCGTTTAAATACAGGGTACAATTTGTTTGATGGATGAAATGATATATCGATACAGCAGTTAAAAACTCACAAAATAATATAATTTAGTAAGTTATTTTTTAAGTTTTTTTCTTTATCTAATCGTGATATTGTTTACTTTTCTACGCCACCTTGCAACCTTCGCCCCGGGTGAGAAGAGTAAACAATTTCATTTGAGTAAATAATATTGCATGATTATTCAACTACATATGTGAGTCGTGACCATTCCTTATATAAATCGCACCCTGTATATAATTTTGATAGTGGGGCTATATGGTGTTACACCCAAATGAGAACTAGTAAGCGTTGCCACGCTCTGGTGGCGGGTCCGACCTTCTGTTGACGAGGTTGTCGCGATAAGGGTCTCGGGGCTGCCGCTTCATGATATCGGACTCAGGCGCCTCGTACGCCAATGATATAGCAGGTACCTTCGTAAACACCAAGCAATCAGCACAGGACAACACGACCGCGACACGACTTACGAGACTTTATCACCTACTCCTTCACCTCTACGACTAGCTCCGGTATAACATATACATTATACATACATATACATCGCTATATTTACTTAATATTACAACACTTTAAATAACTAGAAATTATCATAAAATAGAAAGATATAGCGTGTTAGATATAAAAAGTAGCTCGTCGATGTTTAAAATAGCACAGGAGGGATATCTGAAATACTACTCTAGTGATGATGTACGAAACCTTGAATTATTCATATTACAAATACGTGTATAATGTACTAAGATAAATATTTGTGAATGTAGCCTATCCGATATTAATACGATAAATGCAGTGAGATGATCCGTACGCCTAATTCAGAATGGTGACGATACTTATGTAGGTCATCGTGTGTCATGGTGTGCATGAAGGGTATGAGAGATAAAAAAAATAGATAAAAATAAGAAGAGTAATAAACGATAAGTATTAAGTACTAAAGAGACGATAAGGTGTGTTCAAGAAATGCATGCACGGAAGACAGATGACAGACACAGAGATCGACCACTTACCTCAAGGGCGATCACGGTAAATATTAAAAAAAATAATCAATAAAAACCACAACTTATGAATGGAACAATGTGTTTTCGATCGGCATTAGATGGACGGACAAACACATTATTCCATAACGACATCGAGCTACGTTAAAGGAAATAGAAGGTCTGTTAATAGAGATAAAGTATCAAAGACAACGCAAGGCAGAATCGGTGCGATTGTCGCCTTCAATATCCACACTCGTGTACCTACAGACACCGTCACACTGCAGGCAACAACCAAACCCGAAATATTGAAGACTAATTACACGTGGTAGCAAGCAAAATAGCGGATAGATTAATATCGGCGCACGGGCGATGTTTACCTCTCGTTAACGAGCTTATCAGTGAAAGGATTACGCGGCTGTCGCTTCATAATGTCAGATTCAGCCTCCTCGTAAGCCAGGGAAATGGCGGGCACCTACACAAACACTAGCTATGAGAGAGATCGGCAAGCGTGCGTCGCCACTCACGTGTCCACAACATCCAACACTTAACAAGATTGTAAGCAAGCGCCCAGAATCACGCCCAAAACTAATAAGTACATCTTTCTACTAGAAACCCGTTCCCACATCCAACCCTCCCTTCCTCACCCTTGACCCCAACTTGATATTCGAAATTCAAGAAATCATAGCATTAAAAATTCTTACTTCTTAAAGTTTTAAAATCCACATTAATTACAAGCCTTCCCCATTAAAAATTATCGCCAATATTAAATTTAAAACCCGTCCGGACGTTTGCTTACAATGGCTTGCGATACTTATCACTATAATAGAAAACAAAATGTTAAACACATAAAAAATAGACCATGAAATGTTTGCTTCTGATTACCATCAAGATGTGAAACAAAATTTAATTGAATGATCCGTGTATGATATCGATTTGACGCCGTGTCCTCGTGTCAATGACAATTTGACAAACTGACGATGGTGATGAGAATGACAGTGAGGTGATTGTTGTAAAATCGATGTGTCGTGTCCGTTCTCATGTGCAAATTTAACTAACAGGTATATCATGTAATTCCTAGTAGTAGTGTTTAAGATTTTTTCATATTATGCTTACCCGAATAAATCTTAATATTATGAACAAACACACATATTAGTTCTTAAATCTAGGTATGATTGCAAATAGGTTGTCATATTACTTGATGGTCAATGGGATTCTGCTTTAAAAAGATGATCAGGTTAGGTTTCATCCTGAATAAAATCTCGAACAGATCACCAAATAGTATCACCTATTAGATCAACCATCAATTAATTAAAGCGACACTTCATTATTAGTAGAACTCGACGTTGGCTAAAAATATCACTCGAAAATAACATTCCTGAAATCAATTTGTATGCAATCGTACCTTATTGACAACGAGCATTCGCGTTATATATTTACAAAAGGTAACATTTTTACTAATTACATGTCTCGCGTCAACATTACAATTACATACAATAATATGAAATTAATTCCACTCATCACGATACGTAGACAACAGCGACGTTAGCTGAAACCGGTTATGGGGTTAAAGGCAACATTAGCGTAACATGACAGAGACCTCTCGTTGACAAGTTTGTCGCAAAACGGGTTGCGAGGCGGGCGTTTCATTATGTCTGCCTCCGCCGCCTCGTACGCCAGCGCTATGGCGGGCACCTAGTGCAACATCTCGTTAAATTACCTAAGCACATCTTAAAACACCATCAAATATCGATGCTTATCGAACCGACGTATCAATTTGATTAATGCAAAAATTAAAAATAAAATATTTTATCTTGCAAATAAATATAAATTCATGTTATCATGAAAATTTTGTATGTCTCATACATTATGAAAAAAATATTTTGATGTAATTTCCATGACCTTTATATTCACTTGCAAAATATAGTAATTGAATATTAAGTATTTTTATGGCTAAGAAAGAAACTTACCATGTCAGTTCCGAGATCGATGCAAAGGATAGTAACAGTGCCGAGGGGTAGAGGGATATCGCAAAGGATGAAGGCGAGGAAAGGCGATATTTCTGGAATGTTCGAGGTGAGAGTATACGCGATGGATTTCTTTAAGTTGTCGAAGATTAGGCGGCCTTCCTCTACACCAGTTACGATGGAAGCGAAGTTGTCATCGAGCAGGATCATGTCAGCGGCCTTGGGATAATAATAATTTTGTTAGCATCAGTTCATTAAGATGATTTCAAGTATATGCGTGTTTATTTCATTCACATTTTGTTCATATCTCTATATAATCTGTATTAACAATAAGGCCAATTTTTAAGGACACACATCACACTAACAGAACCGCAAGCAAAACCTAGTAATCCTACAGATGCTTACCTGTTTGGAGACGTCAGAGCCAGCAATGCCCATAGCTACACCGATATCAGCTTTCTTCAAAGCGGGGGAGTCATTGACGCCGTCGCCGGTCACGGCCACGATGGCACCGAGGCGCTGGCAACCTTCCACGATGATCAACTTCTGTTGGGGTGATGTACGTGCGAACACTATTTCCGTGTGGAACCTGGTTGAAAGTATATGTTAAAATTACTTATTTTATTATATTAGTATATGTATATTTTCATACTATATGAGATGAATGATTGAGTATTGCAAAGAGAAATTTACTATCTCAGTAAAGCGGAGGTATTTTGACCACTAAGCAATACTGTATCCAAAAACATAACAGACATTCATCATGACCAAAATACAAGTTCGATTATACATTTTCCTATTAAAAGATAATAGTTTTGACATATTATCATAACTCACTTGAGAATTTCATCGAGTTGGTCTGAATTAAGTTCCCTGAGCTCAGTGCCGTGCACGACAGCTGCCTTAGCCTCGCGAGGGTTGACTTCCGAAACTGGGATGTTGAGGCGGGCAGCGATATCTTCAACGGTTTCGTTACCTTCGGAGATGATTCCTACCGACTTGGCGATAGCCTTGGCTGTGATCGGGTGGTCACCGGTTACCATGATAACCTATTAGGAATAATAATTAGTATAGAATTTTCTAGGTGTTTTTTAAGGTACACTATATGATTTTGTTAATTTTGATCATTGAATATAAGTACTTGTCTTTGTTTACCTTAATACCGGCGGATCGGCACTTAGCAACGGCGTCAGGCACGGCGGCACGGGGAGGATCAATCATGCTCATGAGACCGACAAAGCGAAGGTTGTCCAGGGGGAAGTTGGGATCATCAGTGTTGAACTTGTAGCCGATGGGGTATTTGTCTGAGGGAAGTTGCAAGTCGCAGAAGCCGAGTACACGCTCACCGAGACCGCCGAGTTCCAGATACGCGTTGTTGAATGCTTCCTTCATCTCTTCATCCAAAACCTGTTTGAACAAGGAAAATTAACATTTTAGAAATGTACTTTAAGTAATAAACATATGTTGATTATAAAAATATAGTAGTAGATAAGGCTAAAACGGTTAAAATATGTCTTAATACCTTTTCCTTGCCACCAATGAAAATAGTGCTGCAACGTTCCAAGATCCTTTCAGGGGCGCCCTTCATCACAAGCAAGTGGCGAGGATCGCTGGGATCGTCGCTTTCATGGATAGACACTTGATATTTATTCGTTGAGTTGAAGGGAATTTCGCAAACTTTCTTGTTCCTTTTCCTAATCGACAAAACGTCACCGAGAGCAAGTTCCATACATTTGAGTAAAGCTGCTTCAGACGCATCACCGGCCACTTCCTTCTTCAGAATAGGAACTCCTTCCTGACCTCCCTTGAACTCAGCTCGGTTGCAGAGAGTAGCAATTTTAGCGAGTGCCTTGAATCCAGGGCTAGTGCGGTCTGTAAAGAACAATTTAAGTTAAATCGAATTTGAGAACTACTTGTTTATATGAAAATTATCTTCTTTAAAAGTTTCGTCTTACCATATTGTACTCCAGATTGATCTTCAGTAGTATCAGCTTCAATTATCTGATTATCGAACCACATGTGCGCAACTGTCATTCTGTTCTGGGTCAAAGTACCAGTTTTATCAGAGCAGATGGTGGATGTAGATCCGAGGGTTTCGACAGCTTCCAAGTTCTTGACTAAGCAGTTCTTGGAGGCCATGCGTTTGGCAGTGAGAGTCAGACATACCGTTACAGTCGCTAGCAAACCTTCAGGTACGTTAGCTACAATAATACCTGTAAAAAACATATTTAGTAATGCATGTATGTAAGCTTAATTTTTAAAATAAATATCTACATAGCCGATATTTGAACGTTCTTACCAATAAGGAAGATAACAGCGTCCAGCCAGTGATAGCCGAGGATAAAGGCAATGACGAAGAACGTAACTCCGAGGAACACAGCTACACCAGTGATCAAGTGGATAAAATGATGGATTTCCTTTGCAATGGGGGTTTCACCAGTGTCCAAACCGGAAGCTAAACCAGCGATACGACCCATGACCTTAAATTAATAATGTGTTAGTTAATCATAGATATTATTTAGCTTCATATCAAGTGATATCATAGTACATTTATAATGACCATAATTATTTAAGTATTTTTTACCGTGTTATCACCGCAGCAGATGACTACGCCTTTAGCAGTTCCTTCGACAGCGTTGGTAGAGAAGAAAGCCAAGTTCTTAGTTTCCAAGGGGTTCTCATGGGTGAATTCAGGTCCGCGAGATTGTGGTTCAGATTCGCCGGTCAAACTTGAGTTGTCTACTTTAAAGCCACGAGATTCAATGATGCGGATGTCAGCTGGGATCCTGTCACCGAATTTAACCTATTCCGAAAATAAAATATATTTTAATAAACCATATTTATAGCTTCAAGAGCAAAGTCTGAAACTTACCAATGTTTTAAAAAAATACAAATAGTACTAAATATTCTAATAAAAATACTTTCACAATGGATAAGGAAATTACCTCAACAATATCTCCGAGCACCAGATCCTCAGCACGCAACGTTAACTTTTCTCCTTCGCGGATAACGGTAGCGAACTGAGGTACCATGTTCTTGAAGGATTCCATGATCTTAGACGACTTGCTTTCCTGATAGTATGAGAAAATACCGGTAACAATAACCACAGCCGCTAATACAATTCCGAGGTACAAGTTGTCGTCCGCTGGTTCTTCGACGGTACTCGCCTGTAACAAATATTTTCATTAGGAGATATCTAAAATGTGCATGATTGATGGAAATACTGTACTTAAATTCATTTGCTCTAATCTTACCTGAATTCCATAGGCAATAAAGCATAGAATAGCACCAATCCACAGTAGTAACGCAAAGCCGCCGAAGAGATTTTTACAAAACTTCACCCATTCGGGTGTTTGTTTTGGAGGTGTGAGTGCGTTTGGACCATCTCGTTCAAGATTTTCTTTCGCCTTTGCATGACTAAGTCCCTGTTAACATTTTATTTGTTAAATAGAGTAGAAAATATTTCATATTATTTAAAACTATACATATCTATGATGATATATGTCGTAGGATGATTTGATAATTAGAATTTTCGTAAAAACCACTGCGATAGCACGGATAGTTAGACAATGGTTAGGTATGTTTTATTTTTTGATAACGTGACAGTTCCGACTTGGATAACGTAGGTTAAGAAGGCTAAGAAGAAAAGGCTAAGGCGGGAGCTACATCTTACTCAGAACAACCCTTTCTTTCTTTCTAAGTTGGTTAGGTTAGAACATGTTTTAACAAAAACCCTATCTTTTTCCAGTAAGATTGAGAAATATTTTCACCAATGTTTTATTATCCGTGTTTTCACGATATCCCTAGGTATTTTGCGAAAATTCGAATAATCAAATCATCCTGCAACATATATAAAAACAGAACAAATATTTACGTTTTCGGGGTGTGTCTGAAATCTTTGGTAAAGTTCTTCGGGCGTGACTTTGTGGAAATCGATATCTAATTCCTGTTTAAGATCATCTAAATCTCCAGGTTTCCGCTTCTTCGCAGGGGGTTTCCGGCGAGTCTAAAATGTACACCAAAAATTATTATCTTATAAACACATTTTATAAAGAAGATGCATTATGTATTATTATATAATATATAAACATACTTAATTTTAACTTATGTAGTAAACAAATATTAATTTAAATTGTAATAATAAATAAAATGTTAGTAAAAGCTTAAAAAAATCAAATGATATGAAATTATGATCAAATCAATGATTGAAAACATGCTTAGTAGTGGCAGCTGACAACAGTAAAGTGTGAACAGTTGTCAGTTGTCACTTGTAAGGTCTTCATGAGGCGATAATGCAAATTAAAAACCTTATACTGTCCATCAGCAGTTCTATTATCATCCTTTATGGGGCCGATGGTGGCGACACGATACGAGTCGGTGCGGCCTTGCTGCAAACATAACTAGGGGCTAGACACATTCTACAAGTAGGGCCATGCTAGGGCTGAAATTAAGTGAAGTGAGGATGAGTAGCAATACCAAGTCATTCTGTATAAATAAAAAAAATATGTTTAAAATTTATCCAAAATCACTTGGTCTTCAAAAATATGAAAAGTGACTAACTCTAATAACTATATAAAATGGTAAAGTACATTTCATCTAGCATTAAAATTAAAATGAACTGAACAATTACTATTATTTAAAAATTGAGCAGGCTTAAGTCAAACACAAATGCAACTAAAGGACAACACAAAAATGAAACGTGTTTAAACGGATGAAGTTTTTTTCAATTACCATTGTAAATTACTATTGAACCGTCTATGTATTGTTAAGAGACGAGCACACAGCAACAGTGAGCGTGTCCGAGAAGTGTAGCCTTGACGAGCTGCTATGTAAGGGATCACCGGCTCAATGACGCTCAATTGAACTGAACTAGTTGCGTGTGCGAACCTGACAGCGACTGTATGAAACGAAGGCACCGCGCATCTCTGTGAACTACTGCCCCACTACACATGCGCACTCATTCACATAAACTAAATTCATCGTTTTATAGTAACACCCGTCGGCACTAGTTTTAATATGATTGGCGATTAGCTTCGCATGGTATGAATTATGTATGACCTACTTTTAGCACCGTCGGGAAAATCGTATAGCTTACAGGAGTAATAACGATAATGCAGTGGCAAAACTGGTCATAATGTCACTGAGGCTAAATGCGTCAGTGGTGCCAAAAACAACCCGGCCGTCGCAGTCGATAATTGATGAACGTTTTCATAACGTTCCTCATTAAACCGCGCCCTGAATTTCCATGAAGGTTAAATTAAAACAGAAATAGTAGTCCTTGGACATTACACAACTTTTAGTAGACTGCGAAATGTATGTTTTAAATTACTATTGAATATTTTTTCAAAATACTAATGAAATATAAAACACTCATAATGATAGCAGCAAAAATCGTTACTTGTCTAACTAAGCCCTATCTCAAGTAGCAATTTTAGAATCGAGCCTTCCCAAGTAGCAATTTTAGGAGCTGAGTTGAGAAAATATTGGCAAAATCATGTGAAAATACGATTATACGTTGAAAGTAAGGCGTGCTCCACTCATTACATAAGCGGCACGCAGGACGCTTGCGCGCTGCGACCTAACCCCCGCTACCCTCGACATAAATAGCTAAAAGACAAGGTTGCCACCCCCTGGCTCCGGCGACCGCATTCTATAATCTTTGTAAAGGTTAAACCGGAATATGAGAAGGAAAATAGAATCCGGTTCCGTATTAAATAAAACATTCTTATTGTGTTTCACTGGAGAGAATAAAAACCGGCTGCAAATCTACCGGGTCCTTTTTATTTTATCTTATTCTTTGTTTCATATAATTGGACCGTTTGAATACGACTGCCTGAGTCGTTGCGTACTATAAGTCGTTACAATTTTTCGTGTTTTTAAACCAATTTATGTATTTCTCTGTTATAAGTTTTTATTTTAATGACCTGCAAAATATTAACAGATTTAGAATAAAACTTTGAAACACAAAAAAGATTGATGAAAAAATTGGAACCGAGAGCAAATTTCTGCGATCAGAATTTCATTGCCACGGTCACGTAACTGGTTAATACCGAAAATTTGTGGTTACTATCGTAGTAGTACCAGTACATGTGAATGAGACAATTATTTTTAACTAAGGCGGCGTCGCGCCGCTCAACGCGTGATTCCCGACATGCAATTATAAATACATGACTGTTGCCAAAACATTATTAGTAGACAGATTCACGTGTCTTTGTTGTTGTGATGGTGCTGCAATGCGTGCGTCAGCTACCGACAGATATTACCATAATTAGAAAGAAAATCTATAATATGTGTCCATAATTTACAGACTGGTTGTTTAATACTGATTGGAATAAATATCTTTCTACTCTCCTATTTACTTTGACTTTTATTTTATTAATAGATCCGAAATGAATCAACTCAGCACTCAATTGAGATAGTGGTTCCGATTCAGTGTTTGTTTATTTGAATTGGGTAATTATGTAAACTTAATTTTAATTAGTGTTAATTACATTGATAAAAGGCTCAAGTAAAAGAAAAATAACAACAATTTCTTCTCAATTGTTGATATAAGACAATAAAGGTTAATGTGCTCAAGATATGTCAGAAATTTCGAAAGACATTAAATTCAATTTGATCTTCCAATGACATAAGATCACATATGAAATGAGAATTTTTATTAACATATAGGTACATATACTTATTTTAAAGATTCCGAAAAATAATTATTTGACATTAAAGAATGAGACTCATAAGAAATCAATAATCGTGTCCCATCTCAATTGAGCTGTATACTAAAGACATCCAGTAGGGATGTTCTCATGTTACTGTATATTGATCTCGTGTTCGCTGTCCAGATATTCAGAGCATTTAACATTGACTTTTATTATAATCAGGATCGTTGTGCGTTACGTAATAATGATTATTTTTATATATATATTATCACGAAGTAAAATTTGAAAAACTTGTTGTAATGTTAATTTTCGTCAATATACGTGGGGTTGATTTGACGAACATTATCTGGATTGTGAACTTGAAGGATTAAGTCTAGGAACCTAATTGCTAGGTGCGTGTTATCGTCATAAAGGATAAAGGAAATACTCCAATAGAACGACGGCACTCTATGCGATTTAAATGACATAATGACAAGGCAATTTTCTAATAAACCTTCGGTGCTCTTATATCTAGTTCTCGTGTCCGAACCGCAGCCGCCTCTCGCGACAACCTGTTATCTACTTCCTTCAGGACACCTTATCAGATATACTAATAGTTGGAAAAATAATTTCAATAGAGTTTTACATTTATATGCCAAATAAAATAATAGGACAATTATTTATTAAATCTCATTTCTTGTTACTAGTTTGTCAATGGATAATTTAGAAAATATGTATATTTTATTGTAGTATTCTTTAAATTACCTAATGAATTACTAGCACTAACACTAACTATAGTAAGAATAGTTATGTCAATGTTAAAAATTTATACTGAAGTCCTAAAGCACATTGCTTCGAATATAATATAAAGGAATATTGAAAAATGATTTATAGTTTGCACGAAAAAATAATAAAAGAAAGCTACGAGTTAATAAAAAAAACTGTTTTGAGAGTTGTACAAATAATTGTTGGACGGCGTATAAAGAGACCACAAAGCGAAGTGTCCCTTTCGTGCCGCACAGATCGATACGAGCTGTTACGCAACACGAATGCCGGTGTCTTCGATACAATGCTCCTTCTACATTCTTTGAGTGCGTGACATAACATTGGTATATTTGCTGCTAAAGTACTTAAATTATAGATATTTGAAAGTAAGTAAAAAAAAATATGAGAAAAAAAATTAAAGTACCAGCTAACGCAAGCTTATAGATAAAAAAATGTTTCTTTCGAAAAATAAATTATAATAAGTGCACAGGCTCGACGACACTTCTAAATATTGAAGAACAAAGACAATTAAGACGTGCAAATGAATTCCTTTTCGTAGACAATAGGGAACATGCCTGGAAGCAAGCACTTTACACAAGCAACGAAAATTGCTAATGACCACGAAATTTGTAGTTGGGAGATGTTCCGCACTCACTGTTAGCTACATGCACTCACATCTTCACGAATATATCGCGCCGTTAGGTGAGACTATTTAAAAAACTCAGATAAACACTACTGCAAGCGCACTGCACTCACCTCGCCCATTTTAGCTAGTCTTTATGCAAAGGCGGATTTAAAGAGCAGACCGCCTTCTGTTCTCTTCTGCGTTCCTCGATGGAATGAGAGTAGATCGTCGCTAATTCTGCAACAACGGAGACCGTTACGGCTTCCTCGCCTCTACGAAAAAACTAAAATGTGTGCGCTTTCACGTTGCTTCGTCGCACGGCACTGGGGCTATGTCATTATGGTATAAAACTAAAACCCGGTATGAGAGAAGTGCACGGGTGGAGGAGGCGCGTAGGGCGCGACTTTCGGCGGCCTGTTTCGGGCGGCGACTGAAGACAGGGCTGGCTCTTATTGAGCCGACGGCGCACTGACGTCACACTGCGTCACGACGCCAGCGCCGCCACCGCCGCGCGCATCCACAGCGCCGCCCGCCCCGCTCGTAACCTTCCACAACCGATACGATGACAGCCTCCACTGATAATGTCGATTAAGTTTTTTCAAAAAATTTATGCTTCATCTTTTTATGTAGTTGAGATATAAAAATACAGTCATTTATTTGATACCTTTTATCTTTTCGGTACTATAATTTTATATAGTTTATACTCATAAAAAATGACGAATTCCAGGTTTTAAAAACTCATTGTGCAGAGATGAATAAAATTGCAAATAGATGGCTGGGCTATATATCCTAGTCATTTTGGTTTATTAAAGATTTTATTTCCACAGCAATATAATTTTACGAGGCATACATTTGCGGAACTTTTATTGCATGGCATAATGATAGAGTAACAGTTTCTAAAAATGAATTTGACGCAAATGTTCCATAAGAAATAGTAGAGTTTAAATCATAACACTTCTGATAGATTCTTGACTCAACGTGCGAAAAATTGAAGCGTAAACCTAAGAAAATATCTAATACTCGTGTAATAAGTGTTAAGGCAGAACTTATTAATTATGATAAGTTTTGATGAAACAACAATTTCTGTCAGTAATGGTGGCGATTGCGATTTAAGGAACAAGTAAACCATCTAGTAATAAAATATTTAGATATAAATATCATCAAAATTTCTATGCATATTTTAGACCTTTGCATATATTAAAGGTACTAGTAGAATACACTAAAATGTAAAACTCATTGCAGAAAATTATCCTTAACACAGACCTAGCCGGTAGAGTCGTACTATTAATCTATACATATAATAAAACTGTAGAGGTCGAATGTCTGTACATAGAAATAAAATGCTAAAAACCGAGTCAGGGGGATGTAAGAGAAATAGAATAAATCCGATTTTTTCAATATTTTTGTATCTCTGTCTGTTTGTACGGGCTAATCTCCGAAACTGTTGAACCGATTTAAATGAAATTTTGCATAGTGGTACCTTATACAATATCAAGTTGTCGAGGTGGTTAACATTTTATATACTTTTCATACCAGAAAATTAAAGAGTTCCTGTAGGATAGTTAAAATATGGATAGTTAAAATATAGTAACTTATACAGCTTAGTACACAAAAACTACTGATTGGATTTTAATGAAACTTTACAATAATATAGTTCATACATCATAATAAGAAATAGGCTACTTTTATCCCGGGAAAATGTACGGTTCCCGAGGGATAGATTTGTTTTTGTTTGTCTAGAGGCGAACCCGAGCGAAGCGAAGGTGAGTCGCTGGTAAAGAATAAATTAATTGCATGTGTGGATGAAGATTGTTTATTATTCGCACAAGTTTTGCTAATTTATGGTTGGATAACACCTCCAGGTAAATTTCTAAGAAATTAATTAAAAATATAAGAAATCTATTGTTACTTGACACGCCGGCGTGTCCGCGGTCGTGGAGAAATTAATATACTTTTTACGCACATTTTCAGACTTAAAGGAAGGGAAGCTAGATGCCTATTAAGCTATCATGTTGATTGGAACATAAAATACAGTCACTACTCATCAGAAACAAAATAGATATTTTTATCGCAAGTTACAAGTACTTTCATGACTTGACCGAAATTATGATTACTTTGATATTTTTTTGTTAAATAGTGTGTATTCAGCCCTTTTTAACGTCCCACTGCTGGGCACGGGCCTCCCAATAAGAGGGGGATCAGGCCATAGTCCCCCACGCTGGCCAAGTGCGGGTTGGCGGACTTCACATGTTCACAAGTTCTCTCAGACATGCAGGTTTCCTCACGATGTTTTCCTTCACCGTAAGGCAAGTAGTAATCATGTTAGAAATGATTCGCACATGAAAATATCAGAGGTGCGAGACCCGGGATTTGAACCCGCTTCACTCGGTTTCCCTAGCGAGCGCGTTACCACTGGGCTACCACTGCCTTGTGTTAATAAATTCATTCAGTGTTAATAAATTAATTAGTAACATAATAGATTGTGAGTTTTGTAGCAAAAGCTTAGGCGTGTAAATCAAAATGATTATAATATATAGCAACAATTTTAGGTTACAGCCTAATCCGTTTTAGTATCACGAAATGTCGAATATCGAATAAATCTAGCAACATCACAGTAAGTACTAGTATGGCTGTTTCGATGTGAGGGGGCGCCACCTGTCAGATATTAATTTCCGGCACTTGACGTCGTTCCTCGTGCAATTACACGTCAGCAAATATAGACGTGCCCAGGTCGTACAGTTGCTAGCCAACGGTCAACTCGCCCCTCACCACTTATGCACGTAGTCATCTGCCTAACAGATAAATTTATTTTTAATAAAATACTGTTACACTGCGGGTTCCTATAAGTGCTTATAGAGTATATAATAAGTTTAAAAATTACAGCAATCGTCTAATTGAGATGAAAAAATCTACAAAATCTCTAAATTATTATTTTATTTTAATACAAATGTACCAATTTATCCACCATGCATTTGTGTTACATCCTTTTGATAGATAAATAGAGCAAAAGTCACAAAGTGTTAGAATTTTAGATTTAAACATGATATTGTGTTTTAATGCAAAATCAATTCCTTTTTAAACAAAATAGGTAGAGTAGCTTAATTTTATATAATACGAGGTTAGGGCGATCAGATTTTAGATTCAACATGATTCTAAGGACGAGCTTCTACTTGACCTTCTATTTTGGCACCCCGGCCCTTACAATAAAGTGAAACGGTCCCTTTAGACACGTACAGGGGATTTTCAATGCGGTATAAATTACTCTATTAAAAAGCTTTTAAAGTTTGAGCGCACCTTAATTAAGATTTTGTAGACATCTAGCATTAGTTTAAATGTTATAATTCATATATTTCAATATGGCCTCTATACAAGATAAAACAAAATTCAAAATTTGCTCATTTTTTGCCCTCCAACATGTCCTGCTTTCGTATATATTTTCAACTGAACAAGTCAGTCCTAGAATGTTAAACAAATGGATTTTTCTCATACACTTCCTTTTGACGTTCGATGTTTCTATTGTCTCTAGCATTATATTATTTAAACACTCTGAAAATAGATGAAATAATTTTATGTTAACAATATCCATATTTCCCGGTTACATTGCATGCGCATTAATCGTTGCCTAGAAATGCTGTTTGAGCATTCAGTGATTAGTTATTTGTTAAAATGTAACTAAAAATAAAGCGAGAGCGTCTGATACACAAAAAATATATTGTTGCCGTGACCAATTTAGTTTACTCGAACTTATCCACTAATCTTTCCTATTTATGTAATAAAACATTTTATAATGTTTATAATATACATGTTAAAATGTTATTTAGTATTTATCACTAATAATATAGGTTTACTCCTAAAGCAAATATATATATATATATATATATATATATATATATATATATATATATATATATATATATATATATAGGTTAAATTGTGACAATCAATATCGCATCTGCTATAGATAGCTGACATATTGACAAATCTACCAGCTACGCATGCACAACTCAGTCTGGCAACTGGTACTTTTACCAGGAAAAGGCCATATAGTTTACCTTTCCTGCTCTTTTGTTTGAAATGTGAAATTATTAATTCGCCAAAGCGAAACATGACGGTTAAGTTATGTGGAATATTTATCTAATTATCTATAACAGATGTCAAAAGTTGAGAGGACAAGGAGATTTTAAGTGATGATAATTGAACATGGCGCCCGTAATATATTATGTAAGGCATTCGTATCAATGTTGGAGCAGGAGGCCATTCCTTCGGCATAGAGAACCGGCTGATATGAAAATTCACTGTAGAGCAGTGTCGGGCGTAGGGTAGAGGGTTGTAGCATGTGGTTTGAGGCTGGGGGCGCACGGAGGCTCTATTTGGGTCACCCCGGGCGTCATTCTCCACGATCAATAAACGGAGCCGGCGCGCGCCGTTTGCCCTCTTACTTGCGCCGCCATGCCATATAATATACCTAGCTCATCGCCTATACTGCCCTATCGACATTATTATATTAATAGTCCTTATAAACAATAACGATGTAAGAAACATCAGACATATTAAATTCTTTTGCTTTTATGTTTACGTTACGATACTTTTACGCGTTACTTGTGCGTATGTACAAGTATTGGCAAAGTATATCCTTGAAGAAGTTAAAACTTTGTCTAGCCTACCTACTGAACTGGACGTTTTCGTAACATATTTGTTATATATAAAATAATTTTCATCATATATAAATATAATAATTTATTTTAATATAGCGGGCTTAACTATATATTGACATTTCTAAAAATGGCAAAACAATTGAATGTCTTCTAAAAAATACTTTAAATAAAAGAACTAAGAGTTTAATCATTGTTTACTTTATAGAGTTGGATAAAATGTTACCTACTTTAAATTAAATTTTCACTAATAAATAATGTGGTATTATTAAACATTCTAGCAAGAAACTATCAAGTTTCTAAGAAGTAAGTGGAATAAGAATAGGACTAAAACAATTCGCTACATAAAAACGCTGGTTTAATTATCGTTGAAAATTGATTTAGCTTACTTACGTATCATCTATGAAGTTTTAATACGTTGACTAAATTTGAAATATCATAGGAATACGACAAAAATCAGCTTGGATTATTCACAATAATTAAATTGATAAAACCTTATCCTTTATAGCTGTAAATCGATTTGGTCACATAAACAGCCCTAATATATAATATTGTACGTACTAAAGATACACCTACCGATATAAATTTCTTTACGGAGTAGTAGGTAAATCTGAAAGAAGGAGTCGTAGACATAATGGTATTCTGACTATTTGCATTTTGACTAGATCGAGTTTGGGAAACTTTTTACATTTGGCTGTGGCCATTGGATTTTTTTTCCATCGATAATAATTTAATGTTTCATATTTTACAAACAGTATATCATGAGCTAAAGAGTTTTCATTAAATATATCAACTTATTATTTTATTCCAAATTACTGATCTATCTTCGGCTAAGTCTACACTAGAAAAACAAAAACAAATCTATCCCAAAGAAACCGTACATTTTCCGGGATAAAAAGTAGGTTATGTGTTATTCTAATGTATGAGCTATATGTAAAGTATAGTATATATAAGTATGTATGTAAAGATTTATTTAAATCCATTCAGTAGTTTTTGCGTGAAAGAGTAACAAACATCTATACATCCATACATCCTAACAAACTTTCGCATTTATAATATTAGTAATATTTAGAAAAAAGTATCGCAGATATCATTTTTCATAGTAGTGTCTCACTACTATGAAAGATAATGCCTGCGGCTCAACTAGGCTATTTAAAAAAATACCTATATGTCTGTATTTAACGATTTAGATATAAATGATCAAATCAATAGGCCTCTTTTACAATGTTCAGAATTTCTAGCAATAGGACCATTTTTGAATTTTATGGTAATTCTGCTACCTAAATATTTATTATTCATAAAAGTAATTTCAATGTCATATACCTAAACATAATATGCCACTGTTTTTCATAGTTGTTTTAAATTAAGATATGATTTTAGTTAATGAAACATACAAATTCATTTACAGTATTTGAAATTGAGTTATTGTTAAGGCCATAAAAAAATTACTCAACTAGTTTCTCCTATGAAAAAATCATTTACTAATATTAAGCGTGTAAAAATGTATCTCACTTTTCCCAGATACGAGTATGTACGTCTTCAAAGCGGACAGAAGTCGCTTAAACTGCTTTGAAGAGGAATATATCTGAGTGCACTCGCGTTAGCCCATTGCGTCAGTAAATCACTATTAGCTTACTGAAACGTGGTTGACAGACGAATATAGTTTTAGTACATAGTAATAAGCTCTATATCACTATTAACTTTAATCTTACGGATGTAACTGAATTGGGAGTTTAACGGAATTATTTAGATCTGAGTTTCCGGACAGAAAGACAGACAAAAATTGTAAAACTATAGATTCGGCTTCTGTATCAATAAGATTTTCCAAAAAATATTTAATGTACATATTCGACTCAGGTAGAATTTTTTTATACGTGTAGTTGTTTCTATAATGTACACAAGTATGCATGTATAAAATACGACAAAAAAGGTAAGTGTTGATAGTAGTTTCATCAGTACTTACATGGATGTGTAAGACTCAAAGAAACAAAGTAGAGCCTGATTTCAATATAAATTCTAATAAAGGCATTGGAATTACTTATTTAATCTTTATATATATACTTATTTGATTCGTATCCATTGATAGTAAAAAATTGCAATATATAATTATAGCTAGTGTAACATGCACAATAATTGTCTAACTTACAGAGATTAATTATAAAATATTTTGTAGGCTGAATGTATATTCAAACGTCAACTTTAGATACCGTTATGTCATTTTTGATTTTGACGTTTGAATTTACATTCACTAAAAGGGTATAAAAGTGATTGCTAGACAAGTAAATCGGATTCTTACGCGTAACGTCGTGGTGTTAACATTGTGAAATAATAAGTGAATTGTGTGTGTAATAGTGATGTGAAGTGAAGTGATTAGTGTGTTTAAGTGGATAAATATGAGAATAAAAGATACATATTAGACAACTGCTGTCTTTTCTTTGATTCCTTCTGAGCTCGTTTTAGTTCAGAAGTGGGATCGGCAAAAATATATGTATATTTTTGTGCTCCGCCCGCAAGTAATAATCTAAGGTAATTATGGTTGAAAATAATAATTTTTTTTTTGTTAATGGAATAATCTAATGACGTCCAAAACTACTACCTAGTAGTTTTGGTAAAAATGGTTTAAAATATTAACATTTTCTTTTTACCATAATATTTTCTTAAGTTTGTTTTTCTCGTTTCTTGGTTTAAGGAAAAGAGTAACATATTAAGATGAAATACCGATTGTTTTGATCAACAACTGAGACTCCTGTCGTCGAGTTTCAGATAATGGAAGCTGAGCCTCACGACCCAGAACGTCGAAGCCTGGTGACTCCAGGGCGATCGCAGCGAAAAGAAAAATCAAGTCAAGGTCGTGCACGCAGCCGGCGACGTAGTCGCAGTCGTAGTCGTAGCCGCAGCCGCAGACGTAGTCGCAGCTGTAGACGTGACTGTAGTCGCAACATCAGTCACAGTCGTCATGGCAGCCGTCGTCGTAGCTGCAACCGCGGCCGCAGCCCAAGTATTAACTTCGAGAACTCACACAACAGTGCACGAAGTCAAAGCAGGTACTGTGATTTATATATTCAAGAACGTCATCTATATAACGAGAGAAAACGAATACAAGAACTAGAAGATGAATTACAAAAGAAGCTACGAGATCTGGACAGTGATAAAATCCAACCACTTCAAAATAAATCGAACAAACGACAACATGAAGAATCGGTACCACAAACACCATTAGAAGTTTCCCCAAAACGTACGAAAGAACAAACTGATATGTCATATAGTTTTCTTAATAATTTCTTAAAAATAATTGAGTCCAAAGCTAGCGATAGAGATTCGTTTTCTAGTTTAAATGATTTTATTCCTGAGTTTGATCCATTAATTAGAAATCAAACCGTAGAAATGTGGTTAGATAAGATTGATGAATGTGCCGAAATTTATAATTGGAGTGACAAACAAACTAGTCATTATGCTTTACAAAAGTTAACCGGTCATGCTAAATCTTGGTACCAGGGCCTACCTTCTCTTAAGCATAGTTGGTCAGAGTGGAAACAAATGTTACGAGATTCTTTTCCTATAAATGAAAATTATGCAGAATTACTTACTGAAATGCTTAATAGAAGAACACGTTCTGGCGAGTCTCTAGAAATGTACTACTTCTCTAAAATTAATTTACTAAACCGTTGCAAAATTTTTGGTAAACAAGCGGTAGACTGTATAGTTTATGGCATAGAGGATAGAGGTGTACGTGTCAGTGCTCAGGCAGCAAAATTTAATAGACCAGAAGATGTTTTAGAATTCTTTAATATCATAAAATCGCAGACGAAAGAAAATTTAGACGCAAAGAAATTTTTAAGATTCCCAAATAACAACGTTGGTAACTCTTCTCGTGTTAATGAATTAATCAATAAAAACCGACATAAACCAGAATCTTTAACCTGTTTTAACTGTAAAGAAGTAGGTCACCCTAGTTTTAAATGTCCAAAACCGATAATAAAATGTACAAATTGCAATCTTCTCGGACATACTGCATCAAACTGTCAAAAAAGAATTACCTCTGAACAAAAAAATGTTTTAGATGTATCTATTAAAACTACACCGAATGATAAATATAAAGTAATGATCAAAATTAATGGTAATTCTATATGCTGTCAAGTAGATCTAGGTAGTGAGGTTACATTGATACGAGAAAGCGACGCTAAAGCTATAAAATTAACATGGACCTCTGTGAATAGCCCGTATTTAAGAGGGTTAGGAAATATACCCTATTTACCGTTAGGACGTACATTTGCAGACATAGAACTTCAAGGCTTAGTAGAAAAACAAGTTGAAATACTTATTGTAGCAGATAGTTTGATTAACTTGCCGGTATTATTAGGTCATAGTTTCACTGAGAGACCAAATTTAAGAATAATTAAGACTGACACATACTTACAATTTGACCGAGTAGACGACACATTAAATTCCAAAATATCCTTGCGTTCTGGGGTTAATTTAAAAATTGGTCTAGGGGAAATGAGAGTATTAATAGTGAAATCAGATGAAGTTTATAACGGTTATGTATATATCAGGGGTAATATTAGAGGTTGTCCCGGTAATGAACACTATCTATTGCCTGGTGAGTATGAAATAGTTAATGGTGAGTGTAAAATACTAATACAAAATGTAGGGGAGCAACCAGTCCATTATAGAATCGGCAATTTGGTAACACGAGCCTATTTTTTTAATGATTGTAGAAACTATTGTTCGGTTAATTCAGTTAATTATGACCTTTCTGTTCACACGTATAATACCACTATAAAGTATGGTGAACAACTTACTGATGTTGAAGTTAGGAGCCTAAAAGAGCTTTTACATAGATATAAAACTTGTTTCTCTACTGGTATGCACGACCTCGGTTTTACTACTGTAACTGAAATGGAAATTCACCTTAAAGATGTAAACCCAGTTGTTTATAGGCCTTATCGCTTATCACACTCGGAGCGTCAGTACGTACAAAAAACTATACACGAAATGATCGAACATGGAATTATTCGCGAATCTAGCTCCCCTTACGCGAGTCCCATAGTTTTAGTACAGAAGAAATCCGGTGAAAAACGTCTTTGTGTAGATTACCGTGCACTTAATAGCCGAACCAAAAGAGACCATTACCCTTTGCCTAGAATTGATGATCTGTTGGATCAGTTGAGCGGTCAGACTTTGTTCTCTTCCCTTGATCTCGCTTCTGGCTATCACCAAATCCCTATAGCAGAAGAATCTCGGGAAAAAACGGCATTTGTTACACCAGACGGACAGTACGAGTATAACCGTATGCCGTTTGGTTTGGCAAATGCCCCAGCGGTTTTTCAGCGTACTATGCATAAAATTTTAAATAAATCTAAGGTCAATTATGTAATTATATATATGGATGACATACTAATACCCGCGAAAACTTTTGACGAAGGATTGAAACGGTTAGAAGAGATTTTTCGTTTGTTAAAAGAGGCCGGTCTAACACTAAAAATGGAAAAATGTAACTTCTTTCAAAAAAATATAGAGTTCTTAGGTTTTGAGATTGATATAAATGGTATTCGTCCCGGTAATCAAAAAACAGATGCAGTTTCTAAATTCCCTGTACCACGTAATCAGCATGATGTCCGTCGGTTTCTAGGGTTAGCCAGTTTTTTTAGACGTTTTATAAAGAATTTTGCGATCATAGCCAAACCTCTAACTAACTTATTAAAAAAAGACGTGACATGGAACTGGACTGACAAAGAAACAGAATCTTTTGAGACCTTAAAAAAATTACTTATAACTAGACCTATATTGGCATTATACGACCATACCGCGGAGACCCAATTACATACGGATGCTAGCAAGTTAGGCCTAGCAGGAATATTAATGCAAAGAATTGACTCAAATCCTTGGCGTCCAGTTGCATATTATAGCCGACAAACCACTTCAGAAGAACAAAAGTTTCATTCTTTTGAACTGGAGACATTGGCAGTAGTTTGTTCCTTAAGTAAATTTCGTTCATATCTATTTGGAATTAAATTCACTATACTAACAGATTGCAATGCGCTAAGGTCGACTTTCGTTAAAAAGGATCTAATCCCTCGTATATCTCGTTGGTGGATACAGTTTCTCGAGTACGATTGTAAAATTGAATATCGTCCCGGTCATAGCATGAATCATGTGGATGCACTTAGTAGGAGCCCAGTCTCTATAGAATCGGATCAAGTTCATGTTTTAGACATTCTATCAATAAATTTAGATGACTGGATAGTTACAGCACAGACAACTGACGAAGAAATCCAACGCATAAAAACTATTTTAGAAGATCCCGAAACCCCAAAAATAGCAGCTATTCATAAAGAGTACAGAATTAAAAACGGCCGTGTATACAGAGCTATTGACGATAATACTCTACGTTGGGTAGTTCCCAGGGGAAGTCGTTGGCAGATTTTAAAAGCGAACCACGATGAAGTAGGTCATTTTGGTTTCGAAAAGACCCTTCAACGGATTCAGGCAAACTTTTGGTTCCCAAAGATGCGAAAATTTATAAAAAAATATGTTGCTGCTTGCTTAGAATGTGCTCATCATAAAGTTTCATCGGGATCTAAAGAAGGCTATTTACATCCCATTGAAAAAATCGAAATTCCTTTTCATACAATCCATGCAGACCATTTAGGCCCTTTTCCCCGAACTAAGAAGGGTAATACGTATATTTTAGTTATACTTGATAGTTTTACCAAATACGTTTATCTAGGCGCAGTACGTAGCACGAAAAGTAAAGCTAGTATTAAGATTTTTAAAACCTATTTTAGTTTGTTTGGCACCCCATCTCGTTTAATAACAGACAGAGGCACAAGCTTTACGAGTCGTAAATTTGAAGATTTTATAAAATCAGTAGGTATTAAGCACATTTTAAATTCTGTAGCCACACCTCGAGCTAATGGGCAAGTAGAGCGGTACAACCGCACTATATTAACTTCTCTTAGTACTTTAAATCATGGTAAAAGTAATGACTCTTGGGACTTAAGATTACCGGAGGTACAATTGGGTATTAACACTAGTGTTCATGATGTTACTAAGAGAACGCCAACTGAAATGCTTTTTGGAAGAAAAGTAAATAATCCATCTCAGGGCATTTTGAACAGTATTAGTGATGATATAGGTAACGGGGTTATAAAAGACTCTTTAGACAAAATTAGGTTAGAAGCAAAAGAATTAATCAAATATAATCAAGAAAAAAATAAAGACAGATTTGACTTAAAGAGAAAATCAGCTAGAAAATATAAAGAGGGCGATTTGGTAAAAATTATTAGAACAATAGCTGGAAATTCAGGTCAGTCCAAGAAACTAGAACCCAAATGTCAAGGTCCATACAGAATAAAAAAGATATTACCTAATGATCGATTCGTAGTAGAAGATACGCCTCTAACTAGGAAAGGCAAGAGATACGAAAATGTAGTATCTATTGATAAAATTTCGCCTTGGTTAAGTTTTAGTGCCCCTGTCGTGTCTAGTGATAGTAGTGACAATGATAGTAATTAACAAGACTTAATTTCGAATATGTTGTAGTGATCTGAATACAATGTAAATTATATTGATTATTAAACTATGTACCTATTTAAAAATATATTTATTTCTGTATATTAGTGAAAACAGTGATTTTTATGACGTGTGGGCATGAGTTGGCTTATGAATTAGCCGCCCAAGGAGAAGCACGTCCTAGTGATCAGTGATATAATATGGGCAGGAGTTGGCGTAGGATATCGCCGCCCAAGTGATAATATTTGAGAATAGTGGTGAAGGAAGTAACCCTATTTTCTTGATCTAGTGAAATTATTAGTGAATATAGTGATTGTATATTTATTTCTATTGTTATTATTATTGTAAACTATGAACGTGAGGACACGTTCTTTAAAGGATGGCCGACTGTAACATGCACAATAATTGTCTAACTTACAGAGATTAATTATAAAATATTTTGTAGGCTGAATGTATATTCAAACGTCAACTTTAGATACCGTTATGTCATTTTTGATTTTGACGTTTGAATTTACATTCACTAAAAGGGTATAAAAGTGATTGCTAGACAAGTAAATCGGATTCTTACGCGTAACGTCGTGGTGTTAACATTGTGAAATAATAAGTGAATTGTGTGTGTAATAGTGATGTGAAGTGAAGTGATTAGTGTGTTTAAGTGGATAAATATGAGAATAAAAGATACATATTAGACAACTGCTGTCTTTTCTTTGATTCCTTCTGAGCTCGTTTTACTAGATTTTATAATAATTATAATAAGAACAATATCGCTTTATATTTTGTACGGAATTCGTAAAAAAATTTTTACGCTCTATAGTAGTAAAACAGCGTGAATAGACCACTTAAAGAGATGTGTCTTCCTTTCTACACATGATATCTGATTTTATGATATTTTTTGCAGTGCGTAAATAAATATCTAAATAAATCTTTTTTTTAAGTATGTGTTGGCAGAAACTGGCTTGAGAAAAAATCCCATCTAAGTAGATAAACACTGTCAGCATTATTAGAATTAGCAGCATTTATTACATTTCGTTATAGAGTTCAGTCAGTGAAATTATTATAGAGCAAACCAAATATGATTGAATATAAACATATCTCGTCATGGCCGTTGCTAAGCCAATGGTGTTGATTCACTCGCTTTTATATACATGTTGAAGGTGAAGTCAAAGGAAGTTTATTAGTATATGTACAGGCCAATAAGATTTATAGTTCACTGAAATACTTTAAAAATTGCACACGTTACTACGTGCGCAATTAAATGTTCAAATTGAAAAAAAAATCAAATCAAATGAAAATATACATCTATGCAAATATACCTATTACCTACTAATAAATATTCGACAGACGGGCAGGTCTTGAGTACAAAGATAAAAATTAGCTAACGCTTAGTTAAACTAAAAATTAAGTAGTAGTATAAAGAGACGCTGTGGTTACATAACGTCCTGAAACCTATCAATCTTCAGTGATGTGGAAAACCACACGTAAATAAAACCTACTAAGTGATATTTGAGTGTTGTGGTAAATGGCAGCCGTGGTAGCTATGCAGCGAAAACACTTTAGACGTAACAAAAACTTTTGGAATTATAGTAATAATATTGCGACGAAACTCACAAATAACATGGTCAGACAATTATAGTGACTAAAAGAGCCTACTTATGTATCATTTTTATTTTCTAGAAAAGAACAAATGAACAATGTTCGCTGGAACAGAGCGCAGCCGCAATGTGCGAAATTAACTGGGTTAAAGTTGAACGCTCTTCTTGCAATTGATTAAAGTACCTCGCGAGAGAGACGGCGTGATAACCTAGGTAACTAAATGTTAAAAAGTTAAGTAAAATTAAAGCGTTAACATAATATGATAGCTTCATATTATACTTATAATACCGATAAAGAAGTACAATGTACATATTTATCGCGATATACATAATATATTATTTTACATCGCGAGTAAAAGCTCCAATAATCATAGATTTAACACAATTTCCATATAACGCTTGCGGCAATTGTGTAATATACAGTTTACCACAAAACCGCTTAATGTTATACATGTCTACTTATAGTTTTTATTGCTATTTCGGAAGCCTTATAAATAGACCGTAAACTATGTTTTGGATATATGTTTTTGTTTCAGCCCATTGTTTTCTTTTAAATAATAATTAATAAGTTATTCGCTTTCTGGCTAGCTAGTTGAGCTGTTAGCTTCGAATTTTATTCAACAGTTCTTCCTTACACTGAGACAATTTCATTCCCAACTAGAGTGGTGGGAATACATAATTTACCGACGAATTAAATTTTTGCTTCTACTTTATTATTCTAGGAATTGAAGGGTATTTAGCAAAATAAGCGAAAAGTTAGATCTAGGGTAACTGATTTTTACTAATATTGATTTTAAACAAGGAAACACTCATTAGTATGACTTTTTGTGTTTTACGCGATATTTTAGACAATTCTGAACCAATTTTTAATGATTCTATTCAATGAGTGGGTTGGTTTCATATAAATCCCAAGTAAAGTATCCACTCGCTTACTGTGGGATAATTATTTTAATTAAGCGGGGTAAGTAATTTTAGCTAAAGAAGGAAAATTTGAAATGGCATTTTTTTTAGTTTCCATCTTAACTAAAATCTGCATTTAAATTCATTTGAAAATTTGGCAATTAAAATGGTTATACTTTACTCAATTCATTCCACTTTTGGCATCTTACAATGGCCGACAAATAAAACAACTACAATACTTTAAATAAGAAATTTCAGGACGTCTCCTATGTATGATACCTACCCATTTACTTGAAAAGTTACAAGTCATTAATTAATTACAAACTGGCATTAAATATTCGGTTTAAAATGAGGCTTAGAATACCTAAGATACAATTTGAGATAGAGCTCTCTTTCAGCAATTCCAATACAAAAATGAAAAATATAGTAGGTAGGAAAGGTAGTACCTATAGATGATATACATTGTGAAATTTTTTAAAATTCCATAATATTGAATTACTGATTAAATGTTCCTGCAATATATTTCACACAAAGTTAAAAATATAAGAAAATTAAACAAAATTTTAAAAAATAGTGTTATTATGTAGGTATATGGGTATAAATATTAGGTCTCACGAACCAGTTCCACTTTTATAGGAACCTGATTACCAGAAAATAGTACACTTAACTTTGCATACGTTTTAAAATTACCGTTGAATGCTAGCCAAATATCAAGACTGTTCGCAATCACAATTCATATATATTAGTAATTGAATATATGGAGAGTTATAGACAATTTTGCTGACATTTGGGACGGGGTCGGAAATCTGCTAAACAAAGTCCAGGGTATTTCATGTTACGTAAATCCAACCGTGAATCAGCCAGCGTTAAGTGCACGCGAGAATTGCCGGGCTCGACATAATTCAATTATGAGCCTGACGGCCCGTCGCAAAGGTATTGTATGAAGGATATACTCTCTCAGACAAAACATTAGACCCGTGGGAATGATATAATGACGTTTACGCATCATGACGGTACTTTGTGAATATATAAAATTTAATCTCACAGCCCTGCAAAAATTAGGAGGTTCCAAATCAGCATAATCCTTTAGAAACCAGGCTAAGCCAGAATTATCTACAATAAGTGGCATGAACTGGAGCGGACTCCTTCGACATCCGTTCGCAATCAACAAGTTCAATAACCGTATGTAACAAAATGTGTTAAAAGCAGAATAGATTGACGTCTATTTGATACTCGAATATGCCAAAAAATCTAAAATCCAATCGATTTATAAATAGCAATAAATATGTAGTGTAGATCCAATTCCACGTTTCCATTCCATTCACACATAAGTACAAATAGAGGTCTGTTAAGTAATTCCGAGGTACTTACAACTTTACACACGGATAAAGCCGCAGGCATCTTTGGTTACAAATAAAAATGGGTGTGTAAGTACATACAGAATTCTTATAATTTAATGTTTTAACTATACATATTTACGTTATTACCTACATTCTATATTTCAATTGTTTAATAACGTAAATTGATTACAGCGACATGCGTGGAAGTTAAATTAAATGATTTATATTTAATTTAAAAATAATTATTCTTTCACCTTATTTTTTATGGTCATTTAGGTAACAATAGGGAAAAGCGAAACATAAAAATTCAAAATAGATTCTATAAAATATTAATTATATCATTCATGACTTAGTGTCAATTTAAAGAACAGTTATATGACTTCATCTGAGTTATAACGATTTTATGTAACGATGAAGTATTCCGACAAGCCATTTGGCAGGAGCTTCTGGCTACTTGGCAAGTTAAGAAACTGTTTTAACTAACTTACTACAACTTTTATCACATCAACTAGCCCATTAGTCTTTTCTGCAGCTTATTTTTTTATAGATTACACTTAAGTATATATACAGTACTTAAATTTATCAATAAAACAATAAAATCTTTTTACGTAACTAAAAAACATAAAATACATCTATTTATTAGCTGAACCAGACGTGAATTTCGTGAATTAGATTTCCGCTTCGAATACTCAATTGAAGGGATATTTAGAGGAATAGTTTTAGCTTAAATGGCTCAGTAAGAAACATTGAAACTTTTTTTTAAATATATCTCTTTTATAACATTGTATGTAATTATGATATTGACAACATTTTTAAGTACAGCAATAAATTTTCTAAATTTCATAACGTGTAGTACAGTAGGTATAGATGATAATATATCATCTAGAAATATAACTAATTGAAGGTCTAAGTTCATTGTAATATTGCATTGCAGGGATTTCTAAGCTGGTAAGCTTAATAGACAAAAAATAATTGACATTGAACCGCCAGTAAATTATATCATAACAAATTAGTAGTAATTGCATTTACTACTTTACTACTTATCAATATAAATGGCATAAGCAAATTCTTAGCGTCTATTAATATTTTAGTTTTAATTTTAAATGACATAATATCGACTCTTTTTAATACATGAGCTAGCCTATGTATTGTATAGAGTAGGTAATAA